TACGAGTACCAGAACGCGGCAGCTGCAGCCGCGGTCTCATACCCCGGACAATACCCCAACGGCTTCGAGACGTACCCTTACACGAGCGCCGCAGGTAAGTTTTTCTCTCTTTCTTTCTTTTTTGTGAGATTTGAGGTGCTCACGGCGGCGAGTGTGATGGCTGTCTTCTGGGTTGTTGCGCCGTGTAGTTCAATTGAAGGCGACGAGCGCCCTGATGAAGGAGACGGTAATCATCTCTGAAACGTCAGAAAATTTCTAACACGGCGCAACCCAGAAGACATCTCTTTTATTTATTTGTATCGCCCTTTCATTTCTTTCCTTTCCTCCGCCCCCATCTCTTACAGCGGTCCATTAAAGTTTTTTTTAATAAGTGCCTTAACAGGCAAATCACGGTAAGTACAGTAACCCACTTAGTAAAATTATATGAACAGAAACAAGTATTCATGTACAGGTACACGATTTTCAGTGAATTTTATGTTTTGCATTTCCTTTCCTTGCCTTTTTCTTAGTTAAACTGTGCGTACGATAATCTTACATTCGTTTAATCCTGTATTCTCGTTACCAGAGAATTTTACGGATTCGTAATACTTTCCGTGGAATTCAGGTTCCATTTCAGACAGGTTTTAATGCCAACACCAGTTGGCAAACCGCAGTTCCAGTCAAAGTCCACTGTTGCCTCATGATCCACAGTTCACTACATTAAAACCTGAACTCTATTCTCATCTTGCAATATATCAACAAACAAGCCGCTTACAAAATAGACTATAATACTTTGTGCGTTTTCACTCCTTTATCAAACCACTGGAAAACTTTTGTAGCATGTTCAAGGGTTGATTTTGATGTTATTACGTATCACATTAAGTGTCTACCGTTTTGAACAATCACAATACGTTTTAATCTCCTTATACTCGTATATAACGCCTCCGAAATTTTATCGACCCCGAAGAAAGAAACAGTATGTTTATCCGAAAGATCCGGTAATTGCTAGTACTTCGATACAATGCTATACCCCCAGAACAATTTGTTGTCATTGAAAGCCTGAACGTGATTATGTACTAAGCTTGGCTCATGATGAGGTTTAACCAACACGAATGTCGGACCGCTAACCTCAAGCTTCGATTCGCATCCATCGTACATAAGTGTGTGAAAATGCTGTCTACTATGAAGATGGCTGTCTTCTGGCACGCAGAAGATTAATCTTTATTGGCTATAAGAGTAGTTTTATTCTTGCCAAGATATTCCTTTTTTTATTTCCTATACAAGGCCTTGCTTTTTTTAATGTGCCTTTAACATTCTTTATATTCCAAACTAAATCGTAATGAGTTAAATACGCAGTTGAGCTAATGGATCAATAAAATAAAGAATTTATTAATATATATTAATAAAAGCCTTTAAAGCACAAAGGAACATATTCTTGGTAGGGAATATAACCATAAAGAACTCGGGCAGGAAGATGGCTGTCTTCTGCGTTGTTGCACCGTGTAGTCTGGTAGAAGTTTATCGACGTTTCAGCGCCCTGATGTTAGAGGCAGCAAGGACCTCTGAAACGTAGATAAACTTCTACCAGACTACACGGTGCAACAACCCAGAAGACAGTCATCTTCGTACTTGCTGCCGTCAGAACCTCAAATCGTACAACTCAGACAGGATTAGCGATCTGCAAGTGGTATTAAAACTTACAATTCATAATATTTTCGGAACCGCCCCCACCCAAAAAAAAAATACACCGTGCCAACGGCATATTAATTTAAAATCAGTTTCCTGACTCAAATGTCTTTTACCAAACCAAGAACAAGTAACAGATTCTTCTTATTATCAGTGTTTGCCCCTGCAGGAGCTGCCAGTTACGTAACTCCGTACACGTACGCAACGTTGCCTCAAACTGCAGGACTCCCCACAGCCGCGGCCGGGGGATTCCCAGGTCTGTCCCCCTACCAGACTGCAGCCCAGGCTACGCTTCAAGAGGCTCGCATGCAGTAACGGCACATCCACACTTAGGGGAATGTAAGAATTATTATTATATTATTATTATATTATTATTATATTATTATTATGTATAGTAATAACGGGACAAAAGTTCTGGAATTACCCAACGTCGGTTATCCTATAAGAAAGTTTATAATTAAATTGATCCGCACATGTAATTTGAACTTCGATTGCCACTAAATCTGTTAGGCATAACAGATTTTATAATAACGATTAATTCTTAAATATGAATACATTATTTGAGGTGCCTGGATATAATGCAGAATCTCATTTTTTTCATGATTAAATGGAAGGCAGTGGGCCTCTTCCTTTATACAACCTTTATGGTATGCCTAAATAATATTTAAATAATATGAAGAAACATCTCAAGACAGTTTAATCCTTTAAATGTAAAGCTCAATGAAATAATATTTAAAAGTTTGATTTCTACCTCCATGAAAACACATTGCACCTCTGTTACAAAATGTAGTCGATAAATGTTGTTTTGGAAAATTGTTATTTTTTCTGATGACGATATCACTTGGTGGAGAAAATGTCTCATTACCGAGTGTCAAAAGTAAGTGATTCAAATCCTTGTCACTACACTACATAGCGCTAAGAATGCGTCTTTTGGATATCCCATTACCTGCATCCTGAAGCAAGGAGAAGTAGGTTAGGTTACGTATTCCTAATTCAATTAAAATTAAAAACTAGTATTCCTTCCTCAGAGACTTAAGCTTAAATACTGTTATTTTACATATAAGCTACTTCAACTTTAGTGGTATTTTAAATCACAGTTGTGCACTAATTTAAATTGTTTGTTTTTCTGAACTTATGTAAGAAAGTCTAAGGAACAGATGTTCAACTATCATATTTGCATGCATTATATGTATCAACAAACAGACAGTTATCAGAAAATGTTGGATTACGAAGTTAAAAAGTTATATCTCATTTATAATAAATCGCTACTATTTTTATAAACACAAAATTTTCGACATGAATGGAACGTTTTTATAATCCGTTAATAGTTGTATTGTGGACACAATATGTAAATACACAAACGTTTCTACAAATATGTTTTACTTTTAGTATTAATATTGTCTTCTTGAAAACAAAGTTCCTTCATGTCAATCTAGCCTTCCGGATTGCAACACTATGCGAACTTGTATGTAGATACCAAATTTTTGAGGAACATACTGCCATCACCTTCAGCCCTGAAGGGCTAGAGGCAGTATGTACCTCCTAAAAGTTTATTTTCCTGCGAGACCATGCTGCATTACAATCCAGAAGACTGAATCGATATCTTCAGTGCTGCGAGAATCTCAAATTTCAAGGTCATTTTATTTTCAGGCAGATTTCAAACAAATTACAAATGCTTCCTGTTCTTCTGGATACTGTTGTTTAATAATGGTGCATCAGTCACTGGCTTTTACACTTTCTAGCATAAGGCAGCTTCATTTAAGAAAATATGTCTTGTTAAAAGAATTAACTCCATAAAGAATCAGTCACCATACCTGACTCATATCAATTCTTACTTTTAAAATGTACTTGTAGCAACATACTAAATCTAGATACAGTTTTGGTAAATGAATAAAAGTCATTTAAATATATTTTATTTTCACATATAATACCTCAAAATAAAATCTGAGATTAAAACAATAATTCCCCAGAGTGTGACAGATTTTACTCTTTACCTTTAATTTTCAAATATTCATTTCCATTTTCTATTATTTCATTCATATTTTATAAATTTTATACTCTTGATTTCTATTTTGTATTGAATGTACATAGAATTGCACTGAATTGTTCACTGTATTCACTGACAGACGAAAGCTACTGCCACTTCCCAGCTCCTGGCAAGAACTGCTGCAAAGGTAAGTTAATTTTATTGCTTTTATGGAGCAATACTTGACTCCAATCAAGAAAACCTTATAGTACTTGGTGGTGAGTCATGCAGTTTCATCTGGGTGCCAGGAAGTGGCAGTTGCTTTAAACTTTATCACGGAACACCCTGTACAATTCAGACATCGTGGATTTCTGCTTTGAAACGAAAGCAAAACTAAATACTAGTGAACATGTGGACATGATAGAAGCTTTTCGTGTTTTATACAGTTAGACTGTTTACTTTGGTTGTGCATATGCGGAAGAGGAATACATAGTAACTAATGTTCAATCATCACTGTATTATATAATGCATGACGAAAGATGTTTACGGTAAATTCTGGACAAAACACGCACTCGATATGTCTAATCATATATAAAGGTAGTACCTAAAGGTATCAGCACTTAAGATTGTTTAATCATACACAATGTCAAAGTGAAAAAAGTATGAGATATTGATTCCGTACGCGTTTTTAACACGTATCATTCTAAGAGCAAAGAAAATTTTCGTAATCATTCAGTTAATTTCATTTTGAAATTTTCATTGTTAATTTCATGGCAGTCAGTAACATTGTCAATGATGAACAATCATTATTGTTAAAGATGATAATCAGCGCATGCTACTAAATCATATATCCATTATATAAAATGCATTATGAGATTTATATCTAATATCTTAACAGCATATCCAATGCAGTTTTATCATGAATTTACACGAAGGGTCATGTACTAAAGTTTATACTAATTTTTGTTATCTTGTTTATTTTTGTTGATATGTCAAATATTGGTACTATAAAAGAAAAGTAATTCTAGTCTCGCATTTTTAGAAAGGTATATGGTCGGTATAAAAACTTTTTGATGTTGAACATTTGTATTAATGCCATGAACCATTTAGTTGCGTAAATATGTGTAATTTATAAAGTAATATTTATGCAGCATATAATTACTGCAGTAGTAGCAAAACCTTATTTAAACTTAGAATTAGTATCTACCCTGCTGATAGAGTTAACAACATAAATCATTCCAGTCTCTGGAATTTTGTTTACTAGAATATCAAAGGAAGATAAATTTCTGAAGTTTAGTAGGTAAATAATAATACGGCAATTACGTATCCTAAATATCAAGGAAAATTTGTTGGTTAATGTTGAGAATGGGAAGTATATCAGTTCATTTTGTTTCGAAACTGCTAAGTTTATTAAAATCATCTGAATTACTCATAAGACAGATAATTTCAACATAGTCACTGGTAGCTCAAATAATAAATATTTAACTTTAATTATATTTATATATTTGCACACTATGTATATATTTACTAATAATCTCAAACTATGTCATGTAAATGATATGTTTATACAGAAGGGGATATTCTAACCCTAGTAATAATTTTTGAGGTAAGTATAACTTTCAGAGGTCTACGTTTTAAAAGTGTAATGCAAATACTTTGTATTTGTATACTGATACTAGTTATACGACATGTAGGTAGCATATTTTATTCATTTTTATAAATAGATTTGCTTCTGATATATCATTGTCCTTACAGTTACGTCAGTTAATTTTCTGTCGTAGATTTTAGTTGAAGGCAAAGGCTGGTGAAAATTAGCAAACTTTAAAATATTTATCAGCCAACTTGAATGCTTCTGCGTGTGCATGAGTATGCAATCAAATTTTGGATGATTTCATTATATTTGATATTAGCATTGACTACGTATAATATGAGAGAGTAAAAATGTTTTTAATACAGAATCTGTTCAAATACCAAATTAAAACATTCCCACAATAAATGATTGCATTATCTTGCGTAATTTAATTAAAATCCAAAATATTATTATAGCAGTTTCAGCTCATCCATGATACTAATATTATAATACATATAGTTTACTTCTTTTATTCAAAGATATGGACTATATGTCGCTTCTTAACAGTGTCGTAGTGTCATATATTCACCATGTAATTAATGCACGCGAAGTATGTAACTATTGCTCATTAAAGGTACAGTTAGTTAGCTGTCAGGGCAAAGAGTGCTGACACTGTGCAATAATTGTTAAAACTCGCTTCGTATAATCATTTTATAGCTTAAAGAAAGCAAACCTAGTCAGTAAAACTGAAACAGAAATCCTATGTTACCTCAAAATTAACAGGCCTTGAAACAGTTACCTACGAGTATATTCTGAAATAACAAGTTTAATTATACGTTTTATAACGGCTGAGATAGTGTTTCTTTTTCTGACTAAAATAAAGTCACTGAGAATAAATTTTAAAATTCAATTTCTTACTTTTATATTACTTTAAAATAAAAGATGTGTCGTACTTTAAGGTATAACATTTTCAAAATAAAACTGAAAACAAAGTTTAATATTTCAAATAAAATACGATGACAAATACGTATTTCAATGAAATGTCTGACAGTAACAATATTAAATTTCATTCATTTACATTACACTGAATGGAGCAGATTGGCTTCATCCTGATAAGTTAATAGCATATGGAACCCTACCAACAATACGTACGATCACGCAAAAATTAATTTTATGTGTGATTATATTTCCAGAAATATAACTTATAAAGTTTCTTTCAAGAAACTACAATACATAACAGTGTTCTTAGATTTCATTGTATCCTAAGATTAATTATATTATCATGAAGCATGCTCAACTTTTACATCTGTAAAGACAGTGCACTGCTAAAAATATTTTTATTATGGAAAAAGTAACAACGTCTTAAAATGCTTAAGATGTTCAAAATGAACTGTATTTCAAGTCCGTCCTTCATAGCCTGTTTTCAAAAGTGTGCCTTTTCGTCAGAAAACTACATCACATACGTTTATCAGTATTTTTATGATATGAAGGATACCATTAGGTTATTCTAAGAATAATATTGATTTTCATAAACTGCAGTAATATATTTTGGTGTAATGACTCGTATGTATTGTGTAAATTTACTATAATGTATAAATATATTTAAAATAATGCGTTGTTTTTTTTGTATTTCGTTTAATATTTCTTCAATGATGTCCAAGTTCATGTCTCATAGACTAGCAATGCAAACCTATACATTTTTACGGAAATCTATGAAGCAAAGATCTGGTGAGTATGTCAACAAGGTCGCTCTGAAGTGACTTCAGAGCCAATGGACCCAAAAAAGGTCCGAAAGTCACTTCTTCCAGTGCTTATGCTTAAGTGTTTAACTACGTCTCCAGCAATTCCAAAAATTTTATCCTTAACACTTTTAATGTAATAAGATCGAAGCCCTTCGAATTATGAAATACAATTGACTGTGTTCCGTATTTCCTTATCGTCCTGATAAAGGAGGTAGTAAGCATCTTTGAATGCGTCGGTAAACACGGTTTAACATCCCAAAAGACAGTTATCTGCGTCACTAGACACGTGCGTACTTTGTACGACGGAACAATTTTTGACAATTTGAACAATAACTTACACTAGCAGTCGAAGTATCGTAAGTCTACATTCCTAGTTGTTTTCCTCAAGAAGTGGCAAGGAGCCTTGTTTTGAATCCATACAGATTGTACTGAAGTGGCTAGTAGCCAGATGCTAAACATTTGTCAAAAGAAAACAGCAACAACTAAAATTTGAATGTTCTTTGGAGTTTTGCCGAGTAGGAAAAAAAAAGTATGTGTAACATCACTTCTTAAACTGACAGTTAAAAAGGAACAACAGTCATACAAATACACCCACAGACATGAGGTTACAACCTGAAGCAAAAAAGTGCAGTCTCTACAGTGTGTGCCACGAGCTCCTAACAGTTGGATGATTCTACAACATATAATATAATAATTTATAAGAGCTGGTGTGTATGCTACCGTACAAGTTCGAATGTTGGTGAAACCTAGGATTTACCTGACAAACCTAGGTTTTACCAAACAGTGTTGGTAAAAGCCCGAAAAAAACTATTCGCGACTTATTTCGGGGTTTTGCCATTCACTGTTGGTAAAGCCACATATTCCACGTGAAGACGGTAAAAGTAAAGAGAAAGGTATAAATGTAGTAATTCACTCTTGTAATCGATGCTTTTTTCTATTTTTCGTTCCACAAATTACAAATTTAGAAATATACATTCCTTATCTATCTAGTACTTTAAAAAAGTTTAACAGAAGTCAAAATAATAGATAAAAACATTGCAAAAATATAAAAATTGTGAAGTAAAAAGATATGAGACATTTAACCTAACCTAACCTAACCTTTTGCCACCTGCTTATGGTAAATCCTAACATTTACCAAGATCCATTGGCCTGACCCCGAAATAAGACGCGAATAGTTCTTTTTTTTGGGGGGGGGGGGCTTTTACCAACACTGTTTGGTAAATCCTAGGTTTCACCAACATTCGGGCTTTACGGTAACATATACACCCCCTTCATATAGCGTTTTCTTTAGCGCCATCATGTTAAATTTGTTTATGGAATTCGAAAATTCGCCACAGCAAAACCAGCTGTATGAAACTACCCAGGGTCTATCTGAGCCACCGTACAAGCTCAAAACCTATTTATCTGAAACCAATAGTAATATTAACTGTCAACGGTCATCCATCTTGAGGTTTTCAACCACAATTTACTCATCTGTCTCGTTTATCATACCTAACCTATTTTATCATCACTAAGTCGAAGATGACTGTCTTCCTACATCATTAGGGATCTCTAATGATGGAGTCAGCAAGTACCTCTGAAACGTCGGTAAACTTCTACCAGACTAGACATACTCGCCACCGTAAGAATCTCAAATCCTACGCCGTAAGTTTGCTTTCACGAACTCTTACAGAGAACTTTCGGTGTCTGATGTCGGTATGGGTCACTCTTTTCGGACGATCCGGTATTATATCGGTGTTGTCCATACCCTCGCTCCACAAACAGAAACGCAAAATTCTCAGAAGTTTTGAATGGAAAAAACGGGAAGAAATGGAAAAGAAATTGATTTTCATCTATAAAAAGGTAATACTGACTCAAGAATAAGAGGATATAACACTTTGACATTTTGATAGTTTTATGAGATATTTCTGAATCGAAGTATTTTTTACGAAATATACTGTTTGTATCGGTAATTCAACTATAACCTCAAAATAACACAGTAACATGTTTACTATTTGCTACCTTGGTGATAAGCTGTCGGGCAAGAAATGAATCCAGAAAATTTAGTATCCAGACTGATATTCGAAGCAAGAACTTGAACAAATAAAAATGCCACACCACACCCTGCGAAAGCAACACAAATGTTTTCATATGCCAACAACCTTCAAGTATCCCTTCGCTCCATTAGTGCGGTAAATGAGCTGTAATTTTACGTCTAACGTTTCCGCACCTAAGCTGTTAATGTTAATAGTCGTACGACTAATTTTAGGACTTTGAGTCTCTACCTGAGGGCAAAGCCCTCTCTCTGCTTCGAGCAGGACAGAAGGAGAGATGACAGGACGCTGACACAAGCCTTGCCTTGCCAATTAGAACATTCTGTCTCTTCGTTTCCCTAAATAAGTCTCCGCTTTCCGAACCTGACTTCACTGCGATTCAAGGCTCGGCATTGTTCCTGTCCCTTCCCTGCCGTCAACCTTAGCAGCGCACCGTTGAATGTTGCTACGCAGTTCATCCTGAACTACACCTTAACCCACGCGATGTCACCAACGGAAGATACCATTAGTAGAGTCGAGAGAGACATTTGTCTTCTGGGCTGTTGCACCGTGTATCCTGGTAGAAGTTTACAGACTTTTCAGAGGTGCTTGCTGCCTCTATCATCAGAGCGCAGCCGTGAGAACCTGACATCTCTCTCGCATTTGTCCAGCGTCTTTCGAGGCTTAAGATAAAGGCCGACAAAAGACAGTCAAGGTTTTGAAGTGATCCAAGAGACCCACAGACAATATGACGTGGACCGAGCGTTATGGACGCTGCGTGTTATAGGCGATCCAGGCTGTACGGACTCCCGAAAACACACAAGGATGGGGTAATCTGTCAACATGATAAGGGTTTCCAGTCTGGCAAAACTTCTGGCGGGGCGGTTCAAACGTGGGTATGTTCTCGCACTATGTGATATGGCCCCATGAACCGAATAAACTGGACGACGTCCTCCACCTTAACAGCATCCATCCAACATCTAGTTCACCGTGGAGCATTAAAAAATATGCTGTTCTTCGGAATTTATTTGTATCTAGTTGGTTTTTAGTGACTTTCGAATAGTGATAATACTGTGGTATGTTTAAAATGGCTGATAAATTCATAGAATGCACTAAAGTATACAACGATCTGCATTCCTATTTGTGTGGCCAGACGATGTAAATATTACCAAAATTCACTGACGTATGACAGTTCCGAACGATAACTGGATGACCTGGAGGAAAGCTTGCGTATTGGTGGAAGAGGACGCGCATTCTGGGCGGCAATCGAAAGCAGTATGTGTGGTTGAGTCAGGTTAACGAGCAGACCCATCAGCGTATTTAGGACAACCAAAGATTCGAAACTGATAAAAGTGCAAAAAAACTGCGAAAAAAATTACTTTAGTCCCAATCAACTTTTCATTTTGATGGATTGTGGAAACTTGTGTACCGTTAGACAATAACTTTTCATCAAAATCCGAAGTGCAGGATGCAGACGGACAAATATGACCCCTTTGGCATTTCGTGTAGGTAATGAAAACATCAAGATGGAACATGCATTATGTACAAGAAGGCCTATAATAGAAAGATCCTATTGGCGCAGTCTCAAAACTGTGTAAATACATGACGTCACAGCGTGTCTACCATCACTGTCGACGAGGTACATGTTAGTTTGCAGGCGACCAAATTCTCTACAAACAGAAACTTGAAGATGGCTGTCTACATACACGTCACCTTGAGAACCTGAAATCTCACAAATCAGAAACTTTATTGCCCAGTAAACTAGCTGAGATAGAAGAGACGCCAGATGTCAACAACCATCATCAAATTTTCCTGGCAAAAATCACAAACTTACAACAGTGGAGATATTAATACGCCACGCAAAGGTAGATAAATTCCCAAAGATAATTGTATCACTGGTCTCACATTCATTTATTGCAGATACAAGTCGATTCGGTGGAAACTAAGTTACAATGCACTTAATACCGAAAATGTGCTCAGCTAAGCACAACAAAATGCAAACGTATGTGGGATCGAAGGCATATTCAACGTATTCTTAAACTTTACCTCCGACAAAGAACCCTGATGACCATTATTTAGAACGCTGGGTGGGCACAGAGCTGGTTTGGATGTTCTAACAAGGAGAAGAATCCTTTTCTGTCAGGTACAGAGACCCAATCTTCCAGCCTTATTAAGCGTAGTTCGCACACCTATATTCTAGTGACTGAGCCGTCACGGATACTGTATTTAACATTGCAATCCTAAGTACCTTTTCCTTGTATTTACTTAAATATACATGTCATCGAAAATTGTTTTAAAAAGTTGATCTCGACGAGATCTGCATTTAACATTCTGCAGATCTGCGTGATTTTGTTCCATGAGCCACATTCCGGAAAAAAAAGTGCACTTGCGTGCGATGCAAACTTCGCGTCAAACAGGTGTTATACTGGACCGATAAAAACTTTAGCCGAATTTAACTCGTGGCGAAGAATCTAATAGCCGAGATATCTCAAAATTACAGAGTATTTTCGGAAATGAAGCATGCCACGTATAAGATCATTTGAAAGTAGAACATACGAATTCTCATTAAACAGACTCGCGAGACAGCTGTTGAAACACGGCTCTGTAGATGATGTCTACAGAGTACCACACAGATAGCAAACAATGTTTATATATAGTGATATTGCTGCTGTAAACACGAATCGCGTCATTATTCAATTGCAACGTAGGCCAAAGCCTCAAGGAGAAAACGTGGTGTTAACAACATGCCCAAAATAGTTTCTTCCACAATTGACCTTATAATCCTTTACGAAAATAATTCAACTTATAAATAAGAGCCTGATTCTAGCACTTCCACGTGTAAGTAGGACACTGTCCGCTTCTCCCTAGATTTTGTTTTGTTTGTTCCGGAGGGCGGAAAACACAATTGCTTGGCTCCACCTGTTGGTCCATCAATTATAGCGACAACCCAATGCGTCGTCTCGCAATGCGGAGAATTTGTAACACAGCCAAGACGAAACGCTTTGACACTTCAAAACAGATCACGACAATGATTAAAAACCTTCGCCAAGGAAGTGTCATAAAGCTCCTATTTCATCTTCTATGCTAGCAGACAGGTGACATCACCAGTCAACTGCCAGGCTTTACTTGGGTGTTCATACATTAACCTTTCCCGTGTTACGAACGAGATAAATGGCCTTGAAACCAAAATATTTTGCCTTAGTTAGCTTTACGTATTCTCTAGTATTACCAATCAAAAGATGGCTTCTCACTTGCAGTTTTGGTGCAATAAACATTATAAATCAACATGCAAATGTTCTCATACGAGAAAAGGAAGTAATTTTATGTTTCAGCACTATATTCATGTACCAGAGAGGTTAATTCACTTGGTCAGGAGTGTCACTAGCTCGTAACAGCAAGGACAACATACGCGACTAACAGAATCAAAGGGAAATAATGTTTAATAAGTGGAAGGTCTACACAGGCTTCACCTTCAGTTATTAGTAGCTCTTAATATGCCAGAAAGAAGAAAAGCAACAGTTGGATTATGATGTTACACCAGTTTTACTGCACATCAGTTTTCTTGTTTATACTTGAATACACAGGTCTCTGACTACAAGTTTTAATATTAATTTATGACTGCATCAAAAATTGAGGAAGAAAAACGAGGAATTTAGTAATTTTCAATGCTTGTGTGTCCATGAGATGTAAAAAAAATTAGTTTAGGAATATATAATCCATAGCTTTCATGGAAACTAATTCTTCTAGGGCAACCAGCTATGTAAGGTGGTGAGTAGAGGAAGAATAAGAGAAAATGATTGTAATATTTTTTATTGTCTAGAAAACAATACTTCCTACAAATTTTCTTACTCATGATCATATTGGCTCAGTTATAGCAAACCACATTCTTTGTTTCCTAGTTGGAAACTCCTCCTACCAATCAACAGGAAAGCTCCAGTAAGACCACTGTTGCTTCAGCAATTAAAAAAGATGCTGGTATCCACACCATTTCATACAATCAGATGGTCTCTTCATTCGAATCACCAAATATATTAATTTTTTAAACATGAATTTTGTGTGACCTCCAATAGCACCACCTTCATACCAACAATTTCTGGTATATGACTACCTCATGCTTAATACACGAGAGCCATCTCAAAATACGTGTAATGGCAAACAAATGTACTAACTTTGGGGCATATGGTGGTTGCATGTCCCCATTGTTTCCATGGTAAACAAATGTTACCTTTGTTATTGTTCCAACATCCAAATAACAACAAAAAGCTGATCAAATGGTAAAGTGTCTGACTTGAATCCCATTATTATAAGACATTGTTCTGCACTGTTACCAAAGGTAATTCATAACAATGTGAATATTGTGGTTTCTGGAATTTGTACCCACTGTTCTGTCCATGGCTTTTGGGTTTTCCTCAGTCCTTACCAGAAAATTTTGGTAATGTTACTTGAGAATGCATCGTCGTTCTAGGCTAAAGACGAAGACAATTTTTCCTGAAGCACCGCTATCTTCTTGCGAGTTCTGATTTCATTTCATACTAAACATTTCAATTCTGTCTTCTATTTAAAGTAACCATCAAAAATTTGAAACTTTCATGGCAATCAGCTGAGTGAATATTGAATTAGTTTCTGCCTCCTTTACCAGGTATGATCCCTTACGATAAAGACATCATTAAACAATGTGTACATAAACAAATAAATCTAAAAGAACACCAGACATGCTGATGTATATAACATTAGAACTTGCTTATAAGGCCAAGAGCTACAAAATTATAATTTAAGTAACTTTAACCATGTAAATCTTGGCACATAATCAGACTCGTCTCCAAACAAACACAAATCATTATTCTGAATTCTCACACAAAGAAAATGAGGTGGCGAGATACAGTACTGCAAGTAGAGACAGATGAGTGTAACAATAAACTGCAAATTCAAATTTAAAATATATGTAACAATTTACTAAATTTAAGTGTGTGGTTATTTTAAATTATCCGGTAAGAGATGTGGGAGAGTAAATATATATTCCTTCGATAAGTCAGGACGGAGATGATTACTTGAGTAATTAGCAGGTTCCTAGTACTGCCTACAGAGGCTATAGATAGAATGTGTACACACAAATGTGGTTGCCATAAATAACAAAGTAAAGGACAAAACTCCTAGGCATAGTTCCAAAATGACACGGAGACAGACAAAGTACAGTTATGTGCAGACGCAAAAAACAGGTGCAGTTACATCCTCTGTTCAAATTATAGCAAGTTCATCGTTTCATATTATTTACTCCCACGAAATGACCTACATGGCGCGTAGCAAGACAGCTTTACTTTTTTTACTGAGGAGAATATCTGGACCTAAGAGGGATGAAGTGACATTATGCTGGAGAAAATCATGTAACAAGGAACTCCATAATTTGTACTTTTATCTAGTGCACATGGGGAAGATAAGAAATGCATATAAAACTGAATATGGAAAACCTGGAGGGAAGAATTCACTTAGAAGACCTAGCAATAAATGGGAAGATAAAATGAAAATAAAACTTAGGTGAATAAGGTGAATGGGATATAGAACAGATTTAACTGACTCAGGATAAGTAATGGTGGTGGGATTTTGTGAACATGGTAATGAACATTTGGGTTCAATAACAGAAGGGGAATTTCTTAACTAGCTGAGCTTCTCAAGGACCATGTTTCATGGCATTCATTAGTTAATTACCCAGTACTGGCATGAAACATAAAAACTGAACCAAAAATTAATATGTTCAGGCAGACTGAGCAAATAAGTATGACCAAGAGGAAGATAGATATCATGATGGGATCAAAAGGTTATGGAAGTATCAGACAGAAGAAAGGATGAACATGGTATGAAACTGAGAAGGAACTGTGATAAGACAAGCGATAGTTGGAAAAGCATGACAGACAACATCTTTGAAAAAGACGGAGGCAGTATGACCTCTGAAACGTTGGTTAACATCGACCACACTACACAGTGCAACAACCCAGAAGACAGAAATCTTCAAGAAGAAGAAGGTTTGTCTTGAAGGCAGTCACATTTAGAGATCACAAAGGAAGCTTCATTGAATTAAAATACACATTCACACAAAATAGCTTACAGTTTTAATACTTCCAAATAAAAATGCATAAATGATGTATTCTAATTATAATATTGTTATATGTGAAAGTACAGCAAATGTAATGAAAACTCTACAACTTAGAAAAAGTCACACAACCCATTTAAATATTTATTGATAGTTGCAATAAATACACAGAAGCCCAGGCAGACATGTCACATTGGTCAAACACTACCTGGAACCTCGTTCTTACTTTAACTTACCAGAATGAGTTTAGGGATATATTTCCTAACCCTCTTTGGGTGAAAAAAAAAACACACACAATATCTTGTCTGGTGAGCTGTTTCTGTCACTGCAGAAACTTTTCACTAGGTTGCAGCAAACATGAAGAAAAAAGGGTACTTGCGGGTTATCGGGACACATCGCTTTAAAAATAGGTTAGGTTAGGTTAGTTGTCATTTATTGAAATATAATATAATATAATATAATAACCTTCAAGTATATGTCATTTAACCACACACATTAACCTAACCTAACCTATTTTTAAAGTGATGTGTCCCGATAACCGACAAGTACCGGAAAAAGTGAATGGACGCATTGCTGAACACAGTAGATATTTCCAACACTTTATGACACTGCTTTTTGTTGTTTGATTTCAACAGAAATAGAGGGGAAGAAGTGTCAGAAATATGATGCAAGACTTTTCAATTGTACTGTATAATGCTGAATAACATGGAAAGATGACCATGAATGGTCAGTACATATTTGGAAAGATGTGGTATCGTCCCGGAGACATTTGAGGGAAACCAAAAAAACCTGACATTATCAATACTGAAATGCACATCAGTGAACACGATTATTTCATGTACTACTAAATGTTAAACTGGCGACATATGCATTATCAGTTTCTTGCCTAGTTTATCTCATTTCTTAATTTATATACACATAAGGCAATGCACTCCAGTATCCAAACAAAGGAACAAATATTGTCATACTTTGTGTAAGCATAACTGCAGATCATTTTCCAAACCACATAACCTAAGAATACACATATCTTAGTCCTTTCACACGTGTGAACATGGATCATGACCTTCTCATTGTTAACATTGTATTAATTTCCCATATTATTCTTCTTAAATGATCAATTATTTCCTTCAAATGCCTGTTCTTCAATATTACTTGCTGAAGAGAAAAAAAAATCACAATTAGAATTACCACAACCAGCAAACACAAAAAGAATGGTTCTTTTGTATGCCAAAATAGCCGAGGGGTCGATTGAGTACCCCCCCCCCCTCCCAACACAGATTGCCAGACTTAAATCCACCTTTCTTTTTGTGGGGCTACTTAAAGGATGCAGCGTACAGTACAGAGCCAGCAACACTTCAAGAGCTCCAGCAAGAAATTGAAAGGTGTTGCACAGCTGTCCCTGCAGCAACTTTGGTCGCCACTAGTCAGTTAGTTGCTCACCGCTGCCAACTGTGCCATGAATCTAACAGAGGTCATTTTGAACACCTACAGTAGATTCATTAATACCAATGCTGATGACTGTAATGGTTTAGTATAATGTAATGTCTTTAATTCATTCATTGAACAATTGTATACATCTTTTTGGATGCCTGTATTTTAACACGGCGTACAAAAATATTCTTTCATCCTGTCTGAGTCGCTTGGTTGTCCGGACACCACGCAGTTTAGCATATGTCTACCATATCTACCACTGCAGTATTTGGTAACTTTTCACAATTTGTATATGCAGTTTTAATGTTTATAGGCTAAAATTTGAAAATTTCTGCATTAATAGTAAATGTAATGCATTACACAAAAATGGCATTAGAGTTGTCACCCCAGACTTGGGCCTTGTGAGATGGCTAGAAAACTGTCTCTGATTTTATTAACAGAACAATCAAATATACTCAGTAATTTGGAGATAGTATACTTCTTTTCAAGTTGGCAGTGGTAATAATTTCATGACTGACAATTTTAACAAATAACTGCATAAATCACACATCCTTATAATCAATCACAAGCATTTGGAAAACAAAAATCAGTGTGTGAAAACAGTATCATAAAGTTATCGACACAACTGTAAATAGAGAAAATTACTTTAAAGAGAAGTTTCATAATCTATATTCTTCGCATGGTGAAGTAAGGGTCATTAAAACAAGAATGATGAGTAGAACATGCCTAGCATAGACAGAAGAATAACATTAAAATGGAATTTAAATGCTGTTAAGATATGAACTGGACAGAATGCTCAATGTCAAAGAAAATTCAGTACAAACAACTCACCTCCATGATTTCTTTGTTTTCCTCACAAACAAGTCTGTATGATTCTGAAGTCTTTTTTTCATCAGATTTCATATCCCATTCTTCTTTTAATGGAATTAAACTCTGTAAAATGAGGAATGTACATTACAAAACTTATTAAACTTTTAATGCACTACCTGCAAGAAATGCATATAAAGTGAACATAAATGGTGAGGTAGTGTCTCTCCACCTGTCACCACTCACCTCAAACATATTTCAATCAAATTTGGTACAAGGGGAATTACATCAAATTCAGTTGCGTTTGACCTGTACATGAAACAACATACAGAACTCATCAAGACCCGCAACTTTAATTTAAAAATGTTTCGGTTGATCGTACTGAATGAAGTATAAGCACTCCTAATTAGGTTTATTAACAAGAGTTTCATGTTGCTGATACAAATTTTTATCCATTATTCCTGCCATGAGAGTTCAGCATAAGATGGACATGACAAAAAAATACAGCTAACATTGAGTTTTCAATAAAAATTAATACCAAGACAATAAATTATTGAACATTTGAAACTTCCCACTTTCACCAATGACCTTCAACACTAATTTCCATGTATTATATATTTACTTTGAAGACAAAGTACTCAGAGTACATGAAATTCTATAAACAATGCCTACTTTATTTCAAACGTTTCAATCCATAGGGTTAGGCAAGGGGGGAACTATAATTGAAAGTACAGAATTTAGTGATCCACTCTTGTGCATAATTTCCATTAGTGCGCAGATTTTGAAACATTTTATTTGTCTGACATAATGCCAAAGTTTTGTATCATCACAATGATTGTAATTATTAATATGAATAGACAGGTTTCATACAAAGCAACTTTGATTGCTAACATACAAACAAAGGTTCATACAAAATTGTCAGTATGTCTACGATTTATCTCCATATAAAAGTTTTAGTGCTCAACTGCAATGGTTCATTATTCAGCACCACGAAACCAAAACCCAAATGCAGATTTCTCACAACTACCCTGTTGTTCTACAGCATATGGAAGAAATCACTGAACAACAGTTTCATATTTCTTAGACGTCTATTAACATACAGAACTTCAAGATCCTGTAGTATAATATCTCAGCACAAAATTGTACTGGGCTCGGAATACTTCAATCTCACAAGGAATGCACTACACATCGGTGATAACTCATGAATATAAAGTAAACTGAAAGATAGCGAGCAAGGCAATGGTGGTAGTAGTAGTGTAGTAGTAGTACTACTTACGCAACATTTAAAGTGTTAACATTTTGTTTCTCATATATGAATTTATTTTATTGGCAATAGTGAGGAGTCTGGTAGAAAGTGCACCTCACATTACTGTTCAGAATAACACTAAAATACCTCTATATGGGTGTACTCCATGCCTTGGCAGTTCTCATTGCATTTCTCATAAATTAATCTCAACCGTTTAAAGAGAATTCGAATTGTTTTCAGCTGCTCATGGACTTTGGATTTCTTTTCGTTGCTTGTGTTTGCACCCTGTGCTGTGCCATTAGGGGGCTAAAAAGAAAGAAATCATATCCACATGTAACAATGAACTTTTACCCAGCAAATTCTTGGATGCCCAAGACCTTTTATAGTGACTGAGAAAGCTGTGACATATTTAGGTTTACATCCATTCAGTTTGCTATGCAAATTGGTCTATATGCTCCTGAAGTTTAATCAGAGTTGCCAACTCAAACCTGAGTGCCAAAGTTTCCAAGGTAACAGACAGAGGTACTGTTCGCAACTGTAATCTTGAGATTTGCGGGTGAGGAGGAAAGACAGTGTCTGCTATGCAGTAGCCTTTAACGCTTCGGACTTCCTGCATTCCTTGCAAGTCTCAAGATTACAGTCACGAACAAGGGTATAATACACAGCTGAATGCAGTTCACAGCCACAGATTTTGTACCTTTTAGATTCATGTCAATATTATTGTCCTACCTATACTACACTCCCTTCATGTTATCTGGCTAAAGTTTGCATGCAGTTCTCAACTTTTCATGTAATTATATGTCCTGTCCATCTCACCATCCTTGATTTAATTTAATTAATAACATTTGGTGAAGACAGGAGCTAAATATATTCAACTTAACACTAAAAATATAAAACCAAAAGAAATATTAAGAAAATGTGACAAGAATGACACCGCAGGAAATTTCATGGAGGACATAAAATTATAAATTTTGATGAAGAAAACATGAGACACAACAGCCTAAGAGAAACAATCCTTAAAAGTGATAAGTATAGTATAAATTACAAAACCTCTCACAATGTGATATTCTCAGTTCTCCTGTTACTTTCTCTCTTAACTTCAAAATTAATTACATGAACAAGATAAAGCTCACACCTGAATTGCTTTTAATGCCTGAAACACCTCCTGGGTCCTGGACACAATATCCTGCACTGTTTCCTGTCCAAATCGGCAGAGAGATGCGGTGTTGAACTCCTTATTTGGTGGTTGTTGTTGTGATGGGTTTTGTTGTGGTTGGTTTCCTTGTTGCTGCTGTGTGTTATTTTGATTCGCTGCCTGCTGCTGCTGTTAGTTTCAAAATTATGTAAAATATTAAGTTTTTTATCAACCCATAAATATATTACAGGTAGTTCCTGATTAACACAACAGCCGCACTCCAGAAAATTTGTGTAAGGCGAAACTTCGTTATTCACACATGAACTTCCCAGAAGCAATAATGTAAATAAGGGGGTTGTGTTCCAAGTCCAAATTTGTTTAACACATTTATAATTTTAATACTTTACTACAATTATAATTTGGTTAATCATGTCTTTTTATGCATGTAAGTAATTCACAAAATAAGAAACAAGAATCAAAGTAAAACTGTAATACTGACAGACTGAAGGACAGCTTCACTGCAGAGACTGAGGCAATGAAAAACATGGAGTTAACTCAACCTCAGGAGGACTGCCAACATCGGGAGATGATTCTCTCAATTCTGATGTTTATAAAAATAAGGCAAAAGACTTCTCTCTTGGCTGACCAACCATCAACAAGGATGTTAATTGGCACAGAAAATGATTCAACACATTCTGAAGCTGACTTACTTTCCGCAGTGTCTTTATAAAAATTAAAGATAAAAATTCATGTATGCCAAACTCACTTGTTGTTGCTGCTGCAACTGCTGCATTTGTTGCTGCTGTAGTTGTTGCTGAATTTGCTGTTGCTGCATTTGCAATTGCTGATTCTGTTGTTGCTGAGATAACGCTTGTTGTGTACTTGCTTGTATTCCCACTCCATATGGCTGCTGATTTACCAGCCCTACAACACATAATAATTACCAACATGTAAACAAGTCAAAGTTTGAAGGTTTCTGATAAAGATAATGTTCCTGGTCAACCATTCTTAGTCAGAATGTCATGATCAGTAGAATTTTCGGATTTCCTTCAGAATTTTCCTTTGCCAAACTATAATCAGATTCAATAATGCAAACAGAAATACCAGTCTGCTGTGCTGATGACATCAGACCTCCAATCTGTGGTGTACCTCCAAATTGATTTCTCATTGCTCCTTGTTGTGCATTTGAAAAGCCTGATGGGAATGAATGCTGTGGGCCTGCCATTCTTAACAATGCTCCTTATTATTGCCACGTTCTGAAAAGTATAAATTAAAACACTTGTCATACACTAAACTACATAAAATATTTATATATTTTTTAGAGAGACTATGATATTTCTGATTACTAATAACATGTAAAATATAAACACAATAAATATTCCACACATACTTCATGGTATAAGCCAAGAATGTGGAGCATGTCATAATATAAATACAAATACTTAGTTCATATAAACAACAATACAAATATAACTATGCAGTTGTTACAGTTCCACATTTATAATTTTAATACTTTACTACAATTATAATTTGGTTAATCATGTCTTTTTATGCATGTAAGTAATTCACAAAATAAGAAACAAGAATCAAAGTAAAACTGTAATACTGACAGACTGAAGGACAGCTTCACTGCAGAGACTGAGGCAATGAAAAACATGGAGTTAACTCAACCTCAGGAGGACTGCCAACATCGGGAGATGATTCTCTCAATTCTGATGTTTATAAAAATAAGGCAAAAGACTTCTCTCTTGGCTGACCAACCATCAACAAGGATGTTAATTGGCACAGAAAATGATTCAACACATTCTGAAGCTGACTTACTTTCCGCAGTGTCTTTATAAAAATTAAAGATAAAAATTCATGTATGCCAAACTCACTTGTTGTTGCTGCTGCAACTGCTGCATTTGTTGCTGCTGTAGTTGTTGCTGAATTTGCTGTTGCTGCATTTGCAATTGCTGATTCTGTTGTTGCTGAGATAACGCTTGTTGTGTACTTGCTTGTATTCCCACTCCATATGGCTGCTGATTTACCAGCCCTACAACACATAATAATTACCAACATGTAAACAAGTCAAAGTTTGAAGGTTTCTGATAAAGATAATGTTCCTGGTCAACCATTCTTAGTCAGAATGTCATGATCAGTAGAATTTTCGGATTTCCTTCAGAATTTTCCTTTGCCAAACTATAATCAGATTCAATAATGCAAACAGAAATACCAGTCTGCTGTGCTGATGACATCAGACCTCCAATCTGTGGTGTACCTCCAAATTGATTTCTCATTGCTCCTTGTTGTGCATTTGAAAAGCCTGATGGGAATGAATGCTGTGGGCCTGCCATTCTTAACAATGCTCCTTATTATTGCCACGTTCTGAAAAGTATAAATTAAAACACTTGTCATACACTAAACTACATAAAATATTTATATATTTTTTAGAGAGACTATGATATTTCTGATTACTAATAACATGTAAAATATAAACACAATAAATATTCCACACATACTTCATGGTATAAGCCAAGAATGTGGAGCATGTCATAATATAAATACAAATACTTAGTTCATATAAACAACAATACAAATATAACTATGCAGTTGTTACAGTTCTTTACATAAATATTTACAGTATTTAATAATTTTCAATTAAAGTACATTCTTCTACACATTAAAGTTAAATAATTAGGTCTCTGCATAGTAAGCACCTTTCTGATAAGCAGTGAGATTAACATCTGGCATGTTTATGTTTTGTGTTCATAATACATGTCAGAACTTGTTTCAAACTTCTCCATGTTGTTCTAACATATAACAGTAATGACAGCAAGAATTCACTTGCAAGGGGGAGTAAAATACATTTCTTAAATAGTTCTCTGCACAAGAATCTTCTTTTAACACTTACCAACATTCTAATCATTTTATTTGCTCAAGGATAATACATCAATCAGTCAAATGTTGGATTACAGTCCAAAATGCACATTCAAGCATCACTATCACACTCCTTACTCACCTCTTCAAATGAATCTGATATAATCAAGACCAACAAATCCAACTTTAGTATGCCTACTGTTTCTGGTAACACTGTCAATGTATTTCTCAAATTGGTAACTGAGGTACCTTTATGGGCTATTGTGTGGTTCTCCCACTAATTACATGATATTCCTTGGTAACTACAAGGACTTATAGATAGAACCATTGGTAAACACAAGTCTTACTCTGCTTCACTTCCCTTGGATTCACTTATCTTACTTTACAGGATTGAAAAACGTTGTATTCCACTACAGTAAAATTCACTTGGACTCACTTCCAGGATCTTACATAGGACAAAGAAATGTTCACTGCACTTCAAACTTTCTACGATTGAATTACAACTCAACACTTACAATGTGTAGACTATAAAGTTTTCAGATACTACATAAATACTATGCTGACATACAATAATGAAATAAACTATGATTTTATTTATAAATTCTTGTATGAAATTAATACCTTTATGGCTTTTGGACAGCAAGTCCGTAAATAACTTGTCGGTATTATTTTTGAAAGAACTGTATAAAAATATAGGCCTTTATACAGCAACCGATTAAAATCCTAATCAATCTAAATTAAATGACATTAACACTATGTATTTATTAGTTATGAGCGCAGGTCTGTAAGTACAGATATGGCGGATATCAATTCGTTCCTACTGGCAAAAAATTACCTATATTCTTAGATACATTTCGGATAAGTCATACCCACCTTACATACATTAAACTATTCGTATTGTTATCCAATTACGTTTAAATTACGCTATATATTTTTAAACTTTATTACAGTACTTCAAAGCAAGCAAACCTCACATTTCCAACAGTCACCACACAGTACCCTGCTACTACCAACACACAGGTCGGCAAGTCTATAAGTTGGTAACGTGCAGGAAGTGACTAGGCTGCAGCCATAGTATGGCAGCAAGAACAGATAACCTAAAAACGTACAAGCCGGACTCGACTTGATCTTTTATTTACAAGGGGCACCCAAGAAATACTGTTAAAACACTGGTCGGACCTAGTAAACGAATGCGTTCAATTAGCACGTAACCCACACATGACGGTACTCCTCGGTCAAGATACTGTACAAAGGAAAGGGAGGCAAAATGTAACTATTGTGGAATCGCTCAGAACTTGTTTAAAATATTAGCGAAAGTCCTAACAAAAACCTCGCAGAAAACTCATTTGGGTTAGACGAGCCATATGTACAATCCAAGCAGTGAGGAATGTGACAGAACACATATAGGACTCAAACCGGAAACCATGTGTTCTAGAAATGAATTCACAGACAATAGAATGTCTGGTGATTAGGACAGAATAAACCAATGATATTGGGAGATGGGTGGAATGTGAAACATTTATAAACAAAACGAAAACAAATTCACATTATTGGCAACATAAAGATTTATATAGAACTTCAGTAGATTCATGATCCCTTGCTGCTGAATTTTTATTTGAATACAGTGCCATGTCACTGGTTCTCCACAAATCAGAATTGTAGACTGAAATCTGTAAGCTCACATCTAATAAATGAGCATCTACTACAAGATACCTGAACCCTGCTATGTCAGGGCATAACTTTACATACAGACACACAATATTCCAGCCACATATCTATTTCTCCATTCATAATTTATATGATGATGATATGTAGATTATAGTCATTCAGGAAAAGGTGAGGAATGTGAGAATGAGATGATTTTTAAGACTGGAAGGATTTGGGAGGAAGAAGCTGCGAATAATTATACTATACTGCTGGACATGACCTGCTGTTCATATTAATATATGTATATTTAAGTTAATATAAACTGCACATATAAGAGGAAATGTATTGTATTCTATGTAGAAACTGTACATAACAAGAAGGGGGTTGTTCCTTGGAAGTACTAGATACTGTTAAATGTGTACATAAACAGTTACAGGTCCTCTATTGGTCTTTTTCTTATCCAATGAAGATGTAGTTTCCAGGACAGGTTCCAACACAAACAACGACGGCAAAATGATGAAATATGGTAATCAGCTGTGCATACTATGACATTTCCACATAAATTTGTTCCTTCTTTGTCATCTTGTGTGATGATTTCTGTTCATGTAATGTTATTGTTGGATTCAGCAAATTCATTGGTAGCTCCTTCTTCATCATCATCTGCAGACTGCTGGCTTGTCTCAGTTGTCTCGCCCATCAATGCTCGATATTTCTTGGCAATGGAGTCCCAGTCAGTAACATTCTCAATACGAGTCAAGCTGTTGCTAAAACTAAGCTGAGAGCCTAATGGACTCAGATGGACTACACTAAGAGCTGCTGAGTCTGAAAATAGAAGGACTTTAAGTTACTTACTGGCTTTAATATAGGAATGGTACTAAATATTCAGTTTTGAATATGACAAATACAGAACACATACAACATATACTGTACACTTGAATATCTATAAAAACACCAAGTTTCTACAATTTGTCTACAGAAGGGTCCATGAGTATTGGTTTTATTCTGCACATTTTGCTTCACTGGGCTAATAATGAGCCTCTTATATGCACAATGGAAGGTGCCAAGTTATTCTACAAGTCTGACATATCAATCTTTTCCTTTTGACCAATTATCCTGCCTGTTGTTATTGGTATGACCTTAATTTCCTGAAATGTCATCTCCCATGGAATGCATGTTTAATATGTTTTGTTTTGTCCAAGTAAATGGGAACTTTACTTCCTACAGTAGATTCTCCATAGAGTTTCACAGAACATACATGATAAGATGCCAAAATTCATGTAAAATAAAAATAATATAGACTCAAAAGTGTTAAATTTCCAAAATAAGAGACATCATCTCTGTCCACCTGTGACAGGAGCAGCTGGTCAGACATGTGTATTTCATTTTAAATGTCTTGCAGATGTCAGTTCAAGCACTAAGTGGAAATGTTTTTGTTATATACAAACCCAAAATGACTGAAATGTATGAAATTCAGAGTCATGTTGTATTTTCACATTGTAAGGAACAAATTTAATTTTCACACATATCCTTCTACATTCTTCAAATCCACAGTTATATGTTTCTGATCATTTTTAAGTGGCCTTATAAAATTCTTTAGTCCAGCAGAACCTCACAGGCTTCCACTGATGTTAAACCTGCAAGTATGTTTAGACTCTTTTATAAAAATAAACTGTGCTGTGACAGGAATGCATATAAAATTTAAATGAACAGACAATTGAACCATTCAGAAACATCTGACAATTAGTGCTTCAGTGATAAATTTGATCACACATGCACAGGACACAAGAACATATCAATGACTGAAAGCTGAATTCTTCATAATTATTTTGTCTCTCTTGAATGAAGTGTTTGAGACCCTGGAGTTATATGTAAAACCAATACTCAGACATGTTTCTTGACAAACTGTAAAAAGTATTAACTTTTCTGAAAGAGAAGATAATTTACATAATTAAATAATCAACATCATTTATGAGTTTCAATTGTGATATTGCACTTCAAACACAATACATGATTCTCAATAGGTGACACTGATTTAAACTGGATATTGATATACAATACTTTTTAAAAGAGTAGGCGACAGGATATCATTTCAACATACTGTGACAAAGTGGCATTCAGAATATATATCTGACACTCGTCTATTATTAGAAAAATATATAAACCACATGCCTACTTTAAAAAGTTTAAAATGGAGTTTACACAGAACATTTTGGAAAATATTGTTAAAAGTAGTACATAAAAATGACAAAATTTTATACAATGTCTCTGAATATGGCATTTCTTATATTTTTTAGTGCCATACAATATAATATATGTTTTTTATAAAAGTTAATAACTATTATACAGTTCACCACCTATAGATGTATGTATGGTGTTCAATACAAAATGTGACATCTAAATATTTTTGTGACCATTGTTGATGCTTGTTAACTTCATACTGAAAAAGACAAACTGCAGTCTATATTAGTGTAGAGGAATGCTGGATATTTGTGTTCCATGTGATATTTGAAAAGCTGTTGACAGCAAAGATAGCAGTGGAAGTAGAAGAGGCTAGAAGACAAAATGCAGCAAAGCTTAGTAGAAAGAAGAGAATGTTATTGAGAATAGTGACAATGGCGACAAAGAATGATTTGACCAATGACAGCATTAGCAGTGAAAGAAGAAGCTGAAGACAAAAATGAAGAAAACTGTGCTTCTGAGTAAGATAAAGAATGAGAAGTGGTAGAGCAGAAAGAAGTACAATCATTTATTTCCATGATTGATCGGAGTTGAGAAGTAGTGAGAAGAAGAAACTGAGGCATTATCCCACCATTCTTTGAGTATGTCTGAAGAAAATCACTAGAAACCTCAGTCAGGGTCTCCCCTCAGTATCCGATACTTCTTTGAAGTGGCCTCCCAGTCGACCACATTCTCAATGCGAGTTGCACTGTTGTTGAAACTGAGTTGTGAGCCTAAAGGACTCAGGTGAACCACACTAAGAGTCATAGGGTCTGTGGACAAAAATATTTTAAATTATATCCATCTTTCATTCTTCTCAACTTCACGTGTTGACCAACATACTTCTGTAATGGAAGCATTCGATTACAGGATTCTGGCTAAAATGAGTAAATGCTATTAACACTTCCCAGTCATACATAGGAATGGCACTAAGTGGAAGTGCTATTGAGTTTGTGCCCTATGTAATTGTATAGATGTCTTTCAGTCAATAAAAGGTAACTAACAACTACTCACCATACAAGACTAGCATGTTATAAAACATCAAAAAATGCCCCAAACTTTCGTGGGCAGCATCCACTGGCATTTTGCCAACAAAAATAATTAAACTCTAGGCTCCATAAAAGCTGGGAATTTTTACCAGCTGAATAAATAACTACTCAAGGAATATTCTTCATGATGCTTGGTCTTGAAAAGAAAAAAACTGTTAAATACAGGTAGCCCTCGATTTACGCCGGGGATGCGTTCCAAGACTAACCGGTGTAAACGGAATCGGCATAAATTGAAACAATTTTTATAATGTAAATCAATGGGAAGTGAATGACATGCGTTCCCAGCACCCAAACATTGACGAGTAGAATAATGACATTACATTTAAAGCTCTGAAATAACGTAAATAAAATAAGGGAATTTAAAAAATATATTTTATACACCTACAATCGGCAATTCGTTGGTCCCCGCGATTGACTGAGATTCTTTCATGTGATTGATGTGTACAGGCATCTCTGCTGTTATGTGATAGTTGCATTCATGTAAGACGCCGATCTATAGAAACTCGCGTAGTAAAAACAACCCCGGTAACTCCGCAGAGATTAAATTAGTCCTTTGAAAGTTTAAAGCGCCAGGAATGAAATTGCATAAGAGCAAACTCGCATATGCAAAAGTTTGCATTTCACAAACGGATTTTACCGATTCATCGATCTCATTGGAGCAAATTCGCCTTAACGAAACATACGTAATTGCAGAGATGACTGTATTTATAATTTTTATTCAAAATCAGCGATGTAAGAATTACGATTTAGTATAAGAATTAGTACGATATACATTGTAAAACGTTATAAATAATAGTAATATATATTTTCTTCACTTTTTGACTTGATGGTTTCAAAATCGGCGTTATTCTGAATCGGTGCAAATTGAACCGGCACAAATCGAGGGCTACCTGTATGTTATAGAACATTTTCATAAATGTTAGTGTCATAATGAAAACGTCTGTAGTTCACAGTTTTAAAATTCTTTAAGCTGGTATGGGGACCCATGAATACAACACCTAGCCAATGTGCAGAGGTGAAGGGTCAGTTTCACTCCCCTGCATCTTATACCATGGGGTTAAAAACAAGTACCCATTCTATTCTGGATGTGGTGAAAAATAGTATAAATTTCAATGTCTCTACCAGTCAATTTTCATGTATTTATAATATGTTAGAACTTGGTTTCAAAAGCTGTAGCACAGGCTGGGAAGTACTAATAACATTTCAGTTAAAATTTTTAAGGAGAAATAACAGAAATCTTGCAGTAAATTTACTTTTTTTTTCGTATCCAGTACACACCAATCAGCATGGTGTGCATTGGTGGTTAGCAGGATTCATGACCCATCAGTACATGGTTTTGACCGGGACCGCGAAATTTAACGCTCCTGCTGTGACCTCCTTTTTGCGAGATGATGATGAAAGTGGAGTAGTTGTTGGGATGCCACGGAGAAACCCCGGAGGAAAACTCCGTGATGCCTGGACCACGGCCTTGCCCGACACAAGTTGTAAATCTGAGCACCGCCAGGAATCGAACCCGGGACCCCAGCATTACAAGCCCAGCGTTCTAACCGCCAGACCACCATTACGGCTAGTAAATTTACATTAGTTATATAGAATAGAATTTGAAGGTTAATTTTTGCCTTAAAAGGTTTGTAGACTTTAGTATTATGTCATTATGATGATGAAATAATTTCTTTAATACAAATATCTGAAAGAATATTTAACATTATGATTTTTTTTTCATAAATTCTACACAAATTAAACTACATACACTATTCTATGACTACTGTAACAGAGAAAGAAATATTAGTGTTCATGCTTAGTGATGCCAAATTTTTGACTTACTGTCTGTTATTCCTCCTCTAACAAAGAAGATTAAGAGTAAAAATGTGGAATTTGAGAAAGAACAAGAAGTCAGAGTCACATGTAGTAGTAAACTATGTAGCACAGTAAACACAGAAAGCAAGAAGGGACCTAGAAGAACACAGTAATAAATAAGAACAGAAAGAGTAAGAAGATGGCTGTCTTCTGGGTTGTTGTGCTCTGTAGTCTGGTAAACCTCTTCCAGACTACACGGTGCAACAACCCAGAAAGCAGCCATCTTCAGACTCACTGCCGTGAAAACCTCAAATTCTAAGAGAAAGAGTAGGTGATATTGAAGTAGACTTTGGAAAGTGTAGTCTTTGGGATCATAACTTACTGTATACCATCATATGTGCTGTATTATTTTCCTTCAAGTGCAAAATTTGTCTACTTTGATAAACTACAAGCTATTTAAAGGGACATACTTCATGGGCTAATTACAGTACATTTATGTGGAAAGCGGGAAAACTCAGTTCAGTTCCTGTCAAACCTGGCAGGATTTTAATTCAAGCCAAAAGGCAATTCTTCTCTAACAGTAAAAACCACGCATATTTAATTTTAGTGTCGATTTACTGAAAATATATAACAAAATAATGTATCCTTGCTGAATATCTCAGAATAGAAAGGGCTAATTTTTGCAACATTAAGCAGTGACTTATCAAAAGCACTTTTTGATAAGTTTCCACTTTCTTATGAAATGTGACAAAAAGAGATAAGAGAAAGGGAAATACGTAAGAATTACATAATTAATGTTGACATGATAACTGGACTGTTTGATATCTTTATGGCCTGCACTAAAGATAACAAAAATATATGAGACATTATTAATGAAATGTTTGGATAAAGCTATAGCATTCTTGCCCTGAAATAAAACGACATACTAAAACATCAGATCCAACATGTGGTAGTTATTTCACAACTGTTATTAGGGATTTCATTAACATTTTGTTTATGTTTTGTAATCTGACTATAAGATAAAAATCCAGTCACAAACAGACATGTTTAAATAATTTTTTTTCACATGTTACATTAATTTATAATTATACAATCAGTCAGTTTTAAGAGACTGCTATATACTATTATAAATATTTAAAAACATATTAAGATTTAAATTATTTTATAATATACATTAACATTTTATTATTTAATGCAGTGTAATAAACAGCAAAATTTATTTATAAAAAGAATCAGTTATGATTTTGGTTAAAACATTATTCATAGAAATTGTTACTTAATGCCATGTAATTTAAAATGTTTTATAATTTAATTTCCTCACCTGATTCTGGTGGTTTTCTGTACTTTTCTGCTCCCTCCCCAACTGTGATAAAAATTAGAGCATTTGGTAATGTCAGTAGCTCAGAGTTTTAAAATTAACAAGTTAGATATTTTAAATATTGTCAGTTTATGATTCACGAATATGTGTTAATTAAATGGGAGTGTGCACACAATTCAATTTCTAGATAAGCAATTAATTTCATTAAAGATTACAGAAGCTTCACATAAGATTTAAAAGCACCTCATAAATATTCACACCAAAAAGCAGTGTATATATCTAGACACCAAATTTAAATTACATTCGCTGTGTATCATAGTCCATGACCAGCCTAAATTTAGGCATTTTACATGCAAACAGATTGGCTATTCTGACTAAGGTTCTTCATGGTTTCCCTCTGTTTCTCCTGGCATATGCTGGAATAGTTCCTTAAATTAGGCCATGGTTGCTTCCTTCGACATCCTTTCCATTTTATTATTCACTATCATCTCATTTGACATAATATAGCCTATAGTTTATAAATAAATGCATAATATAAAGAATGTAGGATATTACATGAGATGAGAGATACTGTGTGAAAATGCACATATCACCAAATAAGTAATGAGATCAAATATGTTATGGACCAAATATTTAGCTTGAATTGTAGAGACAAGAAATGATTATAGCACCAAAGAGGAGCTGGTAGGATAAAAAGTCTGTGAGGATGGGATATGAATGGAAGTGGCTCAGGGTCATGTCAAATAGGAATCTTTGGCATTAGTGGTGTTGAGATTTCTACTACTAGAAAGTTACTTGTTAATTATATGCTAAAGACATAAAGTTGATTATGTGTTATATTGTAGCCAACAGCTGTCTATAATGTCATGTCACATCATGTCCCAGTTATCACATTAAAGTAGCAGTGTATCATATTGGCAATTCAGAAAATTTATTGAAACACTGAAATAAGAGAAGCTAAAATTAAAATTAACTTTTTATTTTAATTTAAGTTTTCCATTTTCTTTTAAAGATTTAAAACACTTCCCACCTCTCTAGCATATGCATGAGCATATTCCACATTCAAGAATCCCACATTTTGACAGATAAAACATGCTACATGCTATACTGTTATCTTCTGTTGTAATATTTTGTAGTTAGACCACATTCACATGAAGACCTCAAGGCCTTAGTCTAATGTTGGTTCATATCCTAATTTTAACCCAAGGGACGAAAGTGAAATACAGAAACCATCAGACATGACAACTGTCTACTAGCATGCAAGACACATGCAACATGCCACATGCCATGCTGCTGTATTTGGTTGAATATTTTACTGAAACTCATTTTATTATAATAATAATAAAAGAGAATAGTTCATAAAGATATAATTTTTAAATAACCACAAAAATGAAAGAGAGAAAAGATTTGTCTGATTTTAGCTATCTTCATCAAAGCAAAATACACCAGTTTTGCTTATCAATTAAATAGGGTTTAAATTATTATTATTCCATAATATTTTATTAGTGATGATTGTTATGGTTGGTTATATTTGCCAGTGATTATGTTTTATTATTGTTATAATTATTAATATTATTATTGGTAGTAGTAGCACTACCACAAGTTTTTACCATTTATAATATTATTATGATTATATTTATCAGTTCTCTGCATTGTTATTGTTTATTATAATTATTATAATTCTTATTATTTAGTACCAGCTTAATATTATTTTATAGTTATATTTATTATTGTTATTATTATTATTGCTGCTGCTGTTTATTTTATCAAATAAATTAGGTATTTAGCATAACCAGCTTGATCTAGAAACATTTCAATGAAATATCAGTCAATATTGTTTCTGTTTTGAAGTAAAGGCCACTATTTGCTTATTTATGTACTATTACATGGTAGTTGTAACAAACCTGAAACATTAAATTCATTTAAAATAGTTCTAGTCCATAATATGTATCCCATAAACTATACATTCAGTCAAGCAATACTGGAAAAGGATTATTCAGTGAAAGTTCTAGATCATATGACTTCAAGACTTTGGTTTAATTGTATACAACAGTTAATTTTTTATGTTGAAGGCCAGTTTCTACTTGTCAGACAGTGACAAACTTGGAAAAGAAATGAAGTGTGACAGTGATGATACCCTTTCACGAAACTGAAGCTCTCAAAATGCCCATACCTTTAATATGGACAGTATCATTAGCGGTAACAGGCCATAAAACAAGTTCTATTCTTTAACACTGGATGCAGCACTCTTGTAGCCATAGTATTATTGAATTTGACAGCTACTTTACTATAAAAAGCATTGCCACTGCTTGCATAGAAATAGACCTTCTTCAGGATATATTTAAAAGATACTTTTGACACTAAAGATGCATATCATTTCTAACCTTTAGGTGCCACTTGCCCTTTCTTAACTTTCTGAAGCCATTTAGTTCCCATCTTTGTTCGGGCACTCATTCGCTGTCTCTGCAAGCCCATCATGTGCACAAGACTTGGTCGCTTCCTCTGAGCCACTGTAATTATAAGTAAACATTAGTATCATGCTTAACACAAGCACAGTAGCAATACTAATAATAGCTGAGGCATTAGTAGCAGCAATAATAATAATAATTATAACACCAAAATCATCATCATCATCATCAACAACAACTACTACTACTACTACTACTACTGACTCCATGGCATGTCACCTATTTGTCACACTTGAATCAGTTGCTGTGAAAAATAATTTGACACTTTTTAATATCTAAATATATGTCTAATTACAATTGTCTTCTAATATGAAGACTTCTCTCTGATCCCCATTTCATTATAATGAGCTTTAATTTCTGTGGAAGCAAAACATTGGTTTCAATTACGCTTCAATTATAGAAATATGAAATCATCTTAACAGTTTTTCTGCAATTAAAGTAGAACAAACACATTTTTGTAGATTACTGGGTTCAGTCTCTTAGCCCTCTGAAGTATATAATAGTTACAGGTGTTTGTGCTAGACAAATGCCTCATCTTGCTAACAGAAATGGAATATATTTGCATGGATGTAAGGTGAACTCACAACTGGACTTGAACGTCGCATCCTAAATATGGAAGTAAAGTTCAATGCATTTTTAAACTTGGCGCTGGAGAGAGACAAGTGGTCAACATCATAATTCAGCCACCTTATGTTTCCAGTACCCACTTGACTTAGAGATGGATTGACCCCAGACCCAATCTGAATATTGACATGATGCCCCAACTGGGAATTTAACCCAGTCATCCAGGATTTAGGTAGTTACTTCAAAGACAGCCATTCTGGCATTATGGATGTAAGAGATTAGTTAAGCTTTGCGTAGTGTGGATCAAGTTTAGTTTATTTACTTGAAACAAAAAAGACATGGGCACATAAATATGGTTATATATCTGCATACTAATTTTAGAGTTTAAAATAATGCTAATCGTAATCTGAACAGGAGTTTCCCACTTCTTCCAAAAGAACACATTTAGTTGGCTGAAATATGTGAAGTGTCTTCTCAACCATTGATTCTTCATTTTGTGACTCCTACTTTGCAATAAATTTATGTGATGGTCCCTAGATCAGTATAAAAATTGATGAGCTAAGCATATTACATAAACTTATTACATTCTTCTTCTTCTATGGTGCGACAGCCCGAAATTGAGCCTTGGCCTCCTTTAAGTGATGCCTCCAAACTTTTATTACAAACTATTGCCTTCTGGTAACAGTAACTGATAAATATGGTGAGAAAGTTTTAGAACATCATAGCCTTTGTGATGTTATTGTTTGAAAGAAATTCAATGCAATATTTTCACTGCATGAAACAAATTATATAATGTTAAGGCATGCCAATTTGAACAGAAAGATAAGATAATATATAAGGTAATTTATTTTTACTGTTATTCCTACCTCTAATAACTTGAAATGTTTCTGAACATTAATGAAATTTTAAAATGTAACTTAAGTTCACTTAAGACAGAAATTAAAACTTTCATCACAACCAGATACAACAGATAAAGCTAATGTTTTAATTTGTGTTAAAGTCTGTAAATGTCCTACACTAAACTAATGTGCCTCAACTGTGTAATACACTAGTTTAAGTATGTGTATTCTATGTGAAATACTAGGATACATATTGCAAAAGTGCAAAATATGTAACTGCATGGTGCAGGATATTTCTTGAACCATTAGCACTAATTTAATTGATCAAGAATACTATGTTATGGAACCAAAAGTTTCATCACTATTATCAAACAGTTTATCAGTGGACACCATTCTACAGTACTGTAACACATGCCACATCTTCAAAATCGATTTAAGAATCATTTTAATATTATTCTCTCATCTACATCTAGGTGCCTGAAGGAACTGCTTTTCTTCAGGTTTTCCCAACCAAAATTCTGGATGCATTTCTTGTTCACCTAACTGAGATAAATGTCCATCCCATCATAACCTTCAGTTGACTGCCTAACAATACCTGGTGATGCCAATGTATAAATCAAAAGTTTCTCATTATGAAACATAACTTCCTGCGTCAAAAGTCCAACTATCCCACCATTTCTCCAAAATGCTGCTTCAAAGAAAAAGATTATATATATATATATATATCTGATTCAAAAATTATACATAAGAGTGTCCAAATACTTACACAATGGTGTATCATAAGGAAAAATGGTAAATACACAAGCTACGGTGACCAAACAAAAATACAGCAAAGTGTGCAAGATACACACATAAGTGACCTTTATACAGGACTCAAAAACAATTTATCTCATCACAAAATGTGCAGAGCAGCTCATCTCACTAAATGTATAAATTTCCTGAAACTAATGAATATGTGTAGAGATAAAAAGAAAACTGGTCATTCTAAATGGCTGGCACAGGAAGCATTAACCTTTTTCTTCACCTACCACAGTACAGTGTAGCAAAATTAAAATGCCCCTGCCTCTTTCAATATAGTAAAAGCTCACTTAAAAATCTTAATTCTAAAAAATGGGTTGATAGTACCATACACTAATGTTTCAAGTGGAATGGACAAGGAGTTATTAAAGAAAGATTACTTTATCCACATTAATAACCTAAATCATGTTTATGACAAATGCATGAGCAGTGCTACGACATTTCTGGCTTTTGAATAAATCTATTTACCTTATGGGACCAACACTGCAGTATCCAATGGATTAATGAAGGCTACCAAGATATATTACAGACAACAAGTTAGGTGTATGGCCAGTATGTTATCACATTCTGAAAGAGGCTATCTAATTTTATAATCAATATATGGTGGCAAATTTGCTCTTATGTGGATAAATGTAAATATATAACTTACATACATTATAGCAAGACACTCACCCTTCTGTTTGCAGAGTTGTAGCAAATACATGAACCAAGAAGTGATGAGGTTCAGGGGTGACGGGGTAGTAGTGGTGCGATGCATATTGCGGATCAGTTTGGCCAGACCATACTTCCACTCGATGTCCGACTGTGCCTGGATTCGTTGGTAAGTGTCACTCATCATTGCAATCAGCAGATTTATAAGGACAACCACTGATACTGACATGTATACCATAAACATGATTTTGAAAAGGTATTCTGTCCATGGTGGTCTTGATCCTGATTTCTGTACCTCCTTGACACTCGACATACCAAACACAGCAAAGAATAGATGTTCAAATGCCTCCAGTGGGGTGTACAGAACTGCAATATTTTTAAAACAAGAAAATTTGTTACCACATGTGTAGAGTAAAACTGGTTCTTGAACTTAGGCTGTTATGGCTTGTGTCTGATGCATCATACTGCCTTTTTGTGCCTGAACCCATGACTCTCACTCTAATGATGGCAACTGCAATATTAGCCTAAATACTGGATGTTGTAATTTTATTTCCTGGGAGCAACTTCCAGGCAGAAATAATGTTTTGAAATGTCTTATTTGGAAAAGATTATTGTTTTTAGATTTTTAATAGTAAAAACATAAGAACTTGGAATTGAAATTAAATACTAAGTACATTTAAAGAGATTTCCACTAGTGTGAGTAAATAGTAGTCATGAAATTTGAAACTGTGAATGCTTTGATGGCAGGAGATATGTAGCATCTGTATTATATATTTTTAAGTAACTTGTAATCAATTGTTAAATTCATGACTTGCTTGCAAGTTGTTCAAAGAGCATGAACTGCAGTAAGTGATAGATACTTACTGCGTTGTATTGATTCAGTCAAATTTAAATAAAATATTTAATAATGTCAAATGGAAATGTATATGAAAGAATTAAAAAGTTTCCATTCCTAGCTTCCTTTGAGCCAGTTGCTGCTCTGAACACATAAGAGATTTTATGCTTTGCCAATGACCAACAATATATGTGATAATTCAGCTGAATAAGTGATGCGGCTGAAGTCCTAAAGCAAATATGATGCATAAGAACATTACTGAGATATTATCAAAATAGGTACATAATCACAAATTTCCAAACCATACTTTACACACTCTATCTTTCCTTTTCAAATATAATAAAAATGAGACTTTGAATTTTCATGACAGTGAAACTGTAGACTGTGAAGTTCTGGGTTGTTTCACAGTAGTATTGTGGATGATACTAGTATTATGGAGGAATCTTTGAAACCACTTACAAGGCTATATGGTATCACAACTCAGAAAAGCTCAATCCACAGGTTTTAACATTGTCATGCCAGAGTGACCCAACAGTGGCTTTTTCCATAACTTTATTTAGGATGAGAAAACTTACCTGTAGCTTACAAAGCTATAGATGTGTGATATCTGATGGGTCACTGATTACTTCAAAATATATCTTGGTCCGTGATAACCAGACCTCACTACTTTGTATTCATGTATCTCCTCTAATCATATACATTTAAATTATATGAAAATAAGGCGAAGTTATAATTTCTTAATTTCTGTGAATGAATTTTCAAACCAATAAATGAATAGAAGTACTAAAATCCTTATATATATATATATATATCCCCCCCCCCATAAGGGCAGCAGTTGTCAGATATATGTGTCTTTATTATTAAAACAGGGCTGTAGTTTATCTATACAATATGGACAATCCATCATCAGACAATAGAAATATTTTAATGATGCTTAAATCTGAAGCATGTTCAAAATTGGAAGAAAAAAAATCCAAAACATAATATAGGAACACACTGTGAGACACACCATGGCTGGAAATGTGCATTTGGGTCACACCATGCAAGCTAAAACATTAACTCCTGCATACATAATATTACTGTTCTATTATTTTTTAGGGGCCTGTGTAAGAGGAGAGCTAATAGTGCGTGAAAACCACACAGTAAACATTACCATGGCATTTCTTTATGTAGTTTAATACAATATTTTTACTGTTACTGATGTTTGTGAATGTTTCTTCTTGCATTTAACCTAGTACAGGTGTTATGCATAGAATGAATTCTTTTATCCCTTGTGTTGTAATATTAAGCTGACCCATGAGGCAGACTATATAGGGCAACAATGACGTAGGTTCATGATTCATGATAATTTTTAAATAATGTGAGAACCTCAAGTCTTACACAACATAGACTTTACATTTGAAGTTGTTACCAGCAGAGGGTGTGAGATTATTATTCATGAACTTCCAAGTATCTGCCTTTTGGATCTCATAACTTATGTTATGGAGTCACTGTTTGTTACTGAATCAAACAAAATCTATACACACACACACTTTGTGGTCGAAATAACAAGTTACAGATCCCTAAAGCAGCTAAACTTTAAAGCATTAATAGATACACAAATATATATTCTACAAGCATTCAAAATCATGTGTGATGTATTTGTGGTATAGCTGAAAATCAACCAGTGCTCATGTTGATGACACACCATGAGTGCAGACACACGGGCGACAAAGTACTACCTTCGCTGAAGAGCTCTGCATATGAGTAATTGAACTCTTGTGTAATAATGGGATCAGAATCTGAATTAACAGTTACTGGAGGTCTTCCAGGAAATGGACTCCTTTTATCCCGTCTTACATATGGGAGAGGATGGATGGGCATAGAGTTATTTATTTCAAATTCAAAGGTGTTTGTTTCAGTGCTGTTGTCTTCAACGTAAACCAATTGAGTGTTGTAGATGACCATATCCGATGCTGTTGTAACTGAGAAAATACCATTGAAACAAACAAACAACAGATTTTCAAATCTGCAACAGAGGTAGGTACTATTTGTAAGAAATAATACTTAAGATATTAAGTCATACCAAAATATTTGTTAGCACTGTGAAGCATTATAGCTGAACTTACTTTAACATGTAATAAGAACCTGTATTTTTATTTATGTTTGCTAACACTGCCATAATTTTTATTTTACACCATCAAGGTTTTAATTGGAGTCATTTATAGCATTTGTGAATGCAGTTGTAATACCTTTCAGATTTTAATGGTAAAATATTAATAGCTGAAATAGAATTCACATTTAAATTTAATGTAAAATTAATATTTATACATTCAGAAGTGAAATACTGCAGGCATGGCCAAATGTTAATTGGTAAATTGCAGCTAATGTATAATTGGTTGATGTGTTTATTTTCAGCATCACTGAAAAGGTTGAAAACAAATGCTCAAATCTGAATGTCTCCTGAATATCTTAACATTTCCTTGCTGTGAAAGAGATATCTTACCTGCTTTTAAAAATTTTAATGTTTAATAATGTCAGCAAAAATACACTTCTCTTGCCATCTCTTCTTATATTTCTTAGTTTTTTTCACTACTGATTGAAAATTATACCTTAAGTTTTCATGGATACTTATAGGCAAAGAAATTTTGTTAAATGTAACTCAGAATAAAAAGAGGTAACAAACCTTCATGAGAACAGGTTCTATCCTTTACTAAAGAAATGCTTCTGTGTCACTGTTAATGAGACCTGCTGATAATTTTATAAAACTTACCTTCACTGAAGGTTCCTGAAACCTTAGACTTGTCTACTTTTGGTCCAACTTTTGACGGCGGTTGAAATGGCTGGTTCAATGAGACCATGTTCATGGAGAAGCCAAACACAAAGATGGCAAGTACAGCCAAAAATCGTGCCAGGTCCTTTACAGTAAAATGAAAAAATAAAATTAAGTTCCTGCTTATAACAAAGTGTGCACAGACATGTTAATTATTTAGTAGCTCAGACTACATAGCATAGAATGATAGGATGACAGTGAATACTGAATTGAAAAGGATCCGGAAAGAAGTGGTTGTGGGCTAATTTAGGGTACTACCCTAGCATCTGTTTGGAGGGACTGAGTAAAATTACAAAAAACTTAGTCAGGTTAGTCAGTATCCTGGCTGGGATTTTAATCTAGGACCTACCAAATACAATGTATAAGTGCCAACTACCTGACTATGGCATTCATAAACACACCTAAAAATGTTTTGAGAAATATTCTGTATATACCAAGAATTACAAACATGGTGGTGGTAGGGAACTGTCTTGCAAATTTAGCATGGTTGCTTAGTGGCTTTCTTCTTATTATCATTCCATTATTAATTAGATTCTGCACTTTTATAGATGCTTGAAGACCCAGATTGCCATGGGAGACACTCTATGTGAAAGTGTTACGAGAATACTGCAAGTTATTTACCATGGCTTCCCTGAGATACAATTTGTGGTCCAAGGGATGATAACCTTATTAATTCACTGGCAGCTTGCCAATTAAAAAACCAAAGATTTTAACACTTTCATTTTCATACACCATTTTAATGTTGATATTATGAATTTTAAGAAGCCAATGCTTTATTAACATTTTGAATTTCAAGCTTTAAAACTAATTCCATATTGAATGTACTGTAGTAGTTAATTACGATTGAAGTTACCATCTGAAGATGACCGAAAAATGCTAAAACATTAAATAATATGGCATGAACTATACATACCTTCATTAGGTTGCCAATGATGATGGCCCATGGACCAAACAAATGATGAAATGAGAGGAAGTCAAGGATCTGCACACAGGCGAATAGGAACGACAAGGAAAACAGTTGGTTGCGCACGTACATCACTGTGGGCCAGTATTTTTTTTCCAGAACGCCAGTCATTGCAAAGCTGTGGATACCCACACCAAATATTCCAAAGAGGAGTACACAGAGTTTGATCCAGCCTAGGCCAGTCTTGTCACTAGGATTTGTCAATTCAAACAAGAGTAGGCCCGACAACCATACCAGTAGTACATATTCATACCTGAAAATTATAAATTTAAAATGTATAATATTTTATGTGATTAATTTAAAGGGCAAGTGAGAATTATAGCACTTACAGAGGTTGTACTAAATCCAAACAAAATGCAAGTTTGGAAATTACAATTAAACAGTATTCTTTATTTATTTAAGATATATATGGTTTGGTCCATGAACCATCATCACTGTCCATTGTCCATGGAAATTTCAACATCTGGTGCCAACAAGAAAAAAGGTATACCTTAACAAATGTGCATGTCAACAACATCCTCTGGAAAGTTATATACACACATGCATGTGCACATTCAATAATAATAATAATAATAATCCCAAAACCACTTAAAAATATTTGAAACACGATCAAAAAGTGACATAAAATTTATGAAGATTACATAAAATTAACAATAATACACTGCAATGAGTTCATATGCCTTTCTATTCTAATTTTTGTAATTTGTGAGTATGTGTTGTATACATTCAACACTAGATGGAGCACCTACACCACTTCACGTTGATAGGTTCTCCAATTTTCTTGGCAGACAGACTTCTCCATAAGTCATACACATTCATAACGGTATAACTTAATTTGCTTGCTGATGCCAGATGTAATTTCACATATGAACACTGTTGATAGTCCATAAAATGTGTATGTACATTTGGAAGCCACACCATGAAGTTAGTCAGAAATGCTATTCATTGACACACTAACTAATTCTAGTTACACTGTAATCTTCAGTAGTTATTATTTACCTGATCAATAAACAAATGCATACAACTAATACATTTCACATGCCTGTAGATTCAGAATCTATTTATGTTATGTAAATTGTTAATTTACATGTAGTAAATCGTCATCAGTACTTTACTGTTACTGGTATGTTTAATTGCATTTTTTAAATTTTATGTTGGAACTTGAAGATTCATCACCTTCAGCCAACTTAAACCAGCTTATATTTTGGGTCCAAGCTCTTTAGTCCTGTGGGATGAGGCATGGGGAGAGAGGCGGTGAAATAAGGAAAAGCAATATCGGAGGCAATGCTTTTCTGGTGTACACAACTAATAGCCACCCTGAAATAAGCCTCGAAAATGAGAAGCCAGCATATGCACTGTGACAAAGACAGAATCTGCCCTCAGGAAATTATATTCCTATCTGGCAATACTGACACATACTAAAAGAAAATGCCACATATTTTGCAAGCAGAACAAAGATGAATTCAGTCAATGCTTTCATTCTGAATAATATATTTCCTTCTCTCTGCCACACCCACATCACAGTTTTTGCGTTCCTTCCAAGGCAATAGAGCTAAGTCCCAGACTATATAGTGAGTATGTTTCCTATATAAATATCCCAATGGAATTGTAAAAACTGGTCTTGACAACAAAAGAATAATCTGTGAGTATCCTATAGATTGTCTTATAAAAATACATTCACAAAATAATTTTAATATTTCAAAATGAGTGCCTCAAAATTATCACAAAACATCAAAACAGATAAACTACACGTTGTCATACAAGTTATAAAATTTTTATGGAAGTGAAAATGAAGACTGGTTTTCTTGGTTATGGCATTCTGTAGACTATCAGATGGTTACTATTGTTTTGGAAAAACATATTGAAACATATTGCTTCCACCTTTCGGATAGAAGTTGCAGTGAAGATGGACGCAATGTGTCCCTCTGAAATGTTGGTAACCACACACAAAACTGCATCTTTACCCACACAACAACAATCCCCACATGTTGTCTTTTGGTAATGTTTCACAGCTATGAGAGTAGCTTAAATTATGTGAATGACAGCTATCTCTGTTTTCAAAGTATGTCCGTTGGCTTACAAGAATTGAATATTAACATCATAAAGAGAAATATGCTATCATAAAGTGATATTTTACATACCAGTAAGGTAGCAGCTTTGGTCGCACTGTTGGATAGACCGGAGTGACACCTGTGAGCATGAGGAACACCATAAGGTATATGTGTGAAGTGAGGTATGACATGAACTTTATGATGGGAACCTTGTAGTACTTGTGACCAAGTGGAAGCGTGAATGTCACCCACACTGGGGGGCAGAAGATGAATGCAAAGAACAAAAGCATTGTCCTCCATGCTGCCCAGTTCAGGTTACCCTGCCAAAGTTCCTAGTTAACAAACAGAACAAAGCAAGAACATCATGAAAATTATTCATTAATATTCCAAAGATGAGATTTGGCAGTAGGAGGTACCTAGTAACAATTTAAAGCAGAATCTTCACATTTATTTAATTAACAGGTTTAAAGTTGACTCAAATGCACAAGTTATAACTGTCAATGTATTAAACAGTTCAAATCAATATGAAAAACTACATTTAAAGCAAAAGCAGAAAGGCATATTGCAATGAAGTATGTATATTGCACTGTAACCTTTGAGATTTTACTACTCTAACAAAGCACAAAGTTCATTATTGTGTAATATCATATATCAATAGAGTATAGTCTTAACCTTTATTATACAGGAACAGGGAATTTGAATCCCCGTACCAAGGGGCTGCTGGCCAGACTTCAACTCTGGAGATTAATGGTTTAGTAGCTTGCTACTATGACAGTGACTCATGACTGATGAAGGTTAATAAAAAATATTAATTTAATTATAAGTAATTTATTATGTGAATAGCAGGCAATTTAAAAACATTATATGTTGTTTTTATGTATTTAACAGAACAGAAAATTAATAACTCATAATTTGTACCATTTGGTGCAAAATAATTTTAACTGCAAATTTTTACCTAAATGGGGAGAAACCACATCTGGATTAAATATTAGAGAATCAAAAAGAATATTTATGTTTGAAGAGCTAGGACAGCAACATGTAGGAGGGCACAATCAAATGCACATCTAGCATAGATGAGGAAAGAATAAATGCTTATAGAATTCTGGTAAGAAAATCTTTCGGAAAATTGTCACTTAGAAGACTGAGAAAGAGACTGGAGGATAACATTAAGATGGAGCTTAGGGAAATGGGTTGTGACTAAGAGGTGGATGGAACTAGCTCAGGATTTTATCTAATGGTGAACTTTGAAATTAGCAGTTCAGCTCATAACCATCAGATAGCAACATAGTTATAACAAAAGATTATAAATACAGGATTATTCATAATGGTTCATACAAATTCTGTGAAAAGTTATATAATATATGTCAATGACTTACATGTCTAATATTGTTTATACAACAGAAAAACTTAAATTGCACTGTAACTTACAGAATCCCAATATGAGCCCCATGTGTTGACCAACAAACATCAAAATGATAATCCATTTCTTGTCACACATTTGTTAGGATGTCACCATCAGTGTTCTCCACAGCAGCCATGTCTGAATGCTGGAGTTCCTGTAATGTCGTCAGTAACGGCCCAGTACACCTGATCCTTTGTAAAACCCCATAAGATGAAATTAAGAGCTATCAGATCTGGGTATCATGGGGGTCAAGAAATTTGATCCCCAGGTCCCATTCATTATCCATTTTCCTACTGATACAATCTGAGTGTTCCAGATGGCAGCAAGGCATACTAGGAACTAAGTCACGTTTCTCAGATTTCCATATGGTATGAAAGAAGTATTATGTTAATATGAGCCAGGGTAGCTAAGTCAGTAATGTCTGACTATGGACTGGACAACTGACCAGATGTGACCTATCCAGCTTCCTATCCAATGGGTAGTGGGGGTCCTTTCCCCAGGGATAAAGTGCAGCTGGGATGTGGTGCTGACCACTCACCCCATAAAGTGTTGAGGTCAAGAATATGCAAAAGCTATACCGATTCTCTCCCCAAGTGCTTGCATGGTATGAGGCAGGACAGCTTTATTTTATTACATTAATACATAATTCATTGGAAGTTATGAAGACTTTGAAATTGTATGAATCATTATGAATGTATACATATTTTCTATGAAATATTCTTCTGTGTTCAGGACAGTTGCAGAAGTCTGTGCTAATGATGTTAAATCTTTGGCCTCTATCTCTTCGCAGCTGTTTAGAGTTGAAGCATATACATGGAAATAACATTGACCTTTTGGTCTGTTTCCCAGCTTTTGAATACTGAAGGTGAAAAGTAGTAGATGTTTTGTACAAACATATAGTACAGTCATATATATAAATTTATTTATAAGTTTCACTGTGTTCTGGATTCAAATGGAGAAATTTAGAGGAAAGGAGAAATCATATCTTCTGAATCTGTACAGATTCTCTAAAGGAAAATGCCAATGAGTGATTCATTAAGGTAAGAAAAATTCTGTCAGCATAAGGACAACCAATCATTTGAAGACAGAAATAGAGCCAGCTCCAAAAATGTGCACATCAAACATACCTCAAACAATGGATTATGTCCAACGTAGTACTAGAATATGTATCTGTACACTTTCATTTTTATTTTAATGTTCTTACAAAGAATTATTTTGCAGAACTGAAATTGTTGCACACACAATATTTTAGTTGGGCATCAAAAGTATACTTTTTCTAATGCAGACAGACTGTAAGGCAGTCATTCTTCTCAAATCATGATGTTAAATTAAAATAACATTTATTCACATAAATTTTACAAAGAAATTTAAATGTTAATCATTTCTGTACCCCTATGTGTTTATAAAGTTTCAACAAATTCACATCTAGGTCCTGCACTTACCTGCAGGTATCTCTGCACCACAGTGTGCGCAATGACCTCCTTCTGCTCATTTTCAATAAGAACATCCAAGAATTCTACATTTTGACGATCAGTGGCCGTGAGGATGCGCCCTGCTGAGTCAGCTCCTGCTGCCAGTGCCAGCAATTCTGTTGCCATGGTCTCACATTGCTTCCCAGCAGCTATAAGGTCCTTGGCTCGTTCCTTCTCCTGAACTCATATGCAAGTGGAAAATCAGAATTATTTACTGCTACTGGGTGAGAGTATACAGACTCATCATTTAATGTCCATGAAGAACTTAATGTAAAATGTAAAAGCAATGGTAAATTTGTCCCAAGTGTATGGACTGGATTCAACTATCTTAAGATGACCAGTCATATGATATTAAGGATATGGTAATGGAACGTTTGGGTTCCATAAAATGCAGGAAATTTCTTTATCAACTGAGTGACCACTGGCTTCTGAAGACAGATTCTGTCTCATGGAGTTAGTTCATCAACTTAATTGTGACTTACCTTTGTTGAGAGAACTACATAAATGTTGGAAAGCTTTGCTGCAGTATCGACAGGTGCAGGAGAGACAAGAATGAAGTCCTCAATTGGCTTGTTATTGTGTGCCTTGCTGACCACCATCAGGTTGTAAACAAACTGTACAGAGCAACTGATTGAAACTTTCAGATGGAAGACAATTACACACAGTGATATTCTGACAAAATATTTAATGGCAGTGATGGTGCAACTTTGTTTTTCTCTTGGCTTAGATGAATTTGGAAGCAAACCTTTTTAATAAAATGATACTGCCAAACCATTTTCACCTAACAGTTCTATTACTTTATTTGAAGCTAATACTAATCTTATGTATTAACTACTATTGATGACAGTTTTCTCTCAAGGAAGCACATTCTCCATCATCATAAGTGTCTTAAATAATCTCAGTTCAGTGATTTAAATGCCAGTTTTTAGTTCTTTCTTCAGAAAAATCTTCATCTATCATAATACAAATTACAATGGCTCAAAACATGTATCAGTTTTTGACATACATTTGATTTTAACATTTTCTTGTGTTAGTCTTTGTTTGACTATGCCTACTTGACTCATAGAACTAAACTTGTAGGTAAATTCCTGACAAGCATGCCTCAGAAGATATGATTACAGAGATTTCTCAACTGTAGTGCTTTGTACCATGGAGTAACTAATGAATTCAACAAGAAATCAGTAGACAGTCATCTTCAGACTCACCACCGCTAAAACCTCAAATCCTAAACAATGAGAAATTAACTTCACATAAATAAACATGTGTATGCACCTACAGTGACTACTGAGTTATACAAAAGTCTAAGGCTGGGGCCACATGACTGTACAAAGCACATCGTGACGTCCGTCATAGAATTATGAAGGGGCAAGATCACAGAAAGCAACGGCTTCTTCCGGCTCCATTGGGGCAACTGACGCATCACACTGCGCTCGTGTGGTGACCTCACCTACATCTGTACAAAAGTATGTCCGTTGCAACGGACATACTTTGTACGGTCATGTGGCCAGGGTCTAAAGTGGATTACTAAACGTGGTATATTCCTAAAGCATTTTGAAAACCTATGTTTACAGCTCACCCTTTTGTCTTCCATAAGACTATAGGTGTCATGTTCTTTTGTCATGAGATACTTCAGTACTTCATTATGACTCTCTGAAGCAGCAAACCAAATTGGGGCACTGCCAAAGTTGGTTTCTGCCTTTGGAGATGCTCCAGACTCTACCAGTAACTTCACCACATCTAGAAAACCTGCTCGTGCAGCACAATGCAGTGGCGTCCAACCATTCTGTAACACCACATATTACAGCTTTGTCAGCATAACACAGCACTCATTGGGTCTCAGTAACCCAGTATATATGCATATGATACGATAGTATTCACCTTAGTGGAATTAAATATTTAAAGAGCTATGTGCAAATAACTGGATGGAATTAAATTGTCTGTTTTTGTTCTTCTGTGCTTGTTGCTGTTAAAATGGCCATATTTTAAAAAGGTATAAACATTTTGTATTATAACAAAAAAACATGTTGAAGATTTATGGTACATACATGGTTTAATTAATGAAAATGGGTAGAAGAAGGCATTATGGTATAGTTTCACAAATTATAAGTCCCGCACCATAGCCGCGCAGTCTGAGGCATCATGCTTCGGACCGGCGATATGGAATGCGCGCTGGTTCGAGTCTTGGGGAAAAAGAAATTTTCTCATGAGCTTTCGACCAGTGTATGGGACCGGTGCCATCCCAGCATCGTGAGGAAATTGGAGAGCTACAATAAATAGCGTAATCCGGTCATTTAAACTAGCAATGGCTGGGGGTTCGTCGTGCTGACCACACGTCACCCTATATCTGGTTGGATGATCGTTCACCTCTGCTTAGGCATGTGAACGTGAGGCCAGCAGGCAAGCTAGTCATATTTGGCTCTCTGGAGCTGTTACGCCACAGATTTATTTATTTATTTTTCACAAATTATAATCTTCAAGCTTTTGATGAAGAAACAAGAATACACAAGTATTTGAAATTAATAGCAGCAGCCATTTCTCCAGCTGATTCACACATAACCTGATACTGCTCCCAGCTGAGAACATAATTTTCCTCATCCCAGAACAAATGGACTTCTTGTAGCAGGTAGAGAATGGTACTTTCATACCTTAGACTTGCCTTATCAGTTGCATTTATCTCTGCCCCTTGACCTAACAGCACCTCACACATCTGATAGCGGCCATGTTGAGCTGCTATATGGAGACCAGTCTTGCCATGCTTGTCACCACTGTGAAGCAGTTCTGCAGATCGACTCAGAAGTAGACCAACAACAGTTATGTGGCCACCAAAGCATGCCAGGTGCAGTGGGTTGTAACCCTGCAAAATACTTTATGTCACATCTCTAATAATGTACATATTTTAACTTGGCTACTTTCCTGCAAAAGAAAACAAAACTATGTAAATGGGACACCAAAAATAAGATCACATGCGAACCAAGGGCATATTCACCTCTCCAGTCTCAGAACATTATGGCATACCAGTTACAACTCCCATTTTATATTTGGAATGTGAGTCAAAACTTCTGTTAAAAGGAAGGGTATTTTATCTTAATGGTTTCCTTTAATCCCTTAAAGCAAATGTTGATACAGTAACTTAAAATTGGCCACATAAATACCCTTTTCAGATCACCATTAATAGTTTTATATATTTTATATTAGATAAAGTGTTTCTTACACAACAGCATGCTATATAATTTTGATACATTCAAAACATCTGTATAGAAGTAACAAAATAGTTCTAAATAAATTTCCCGAAAAACTTTTATACAGGTATGTGTTCAATATCTAATAAGTAAAATATTTTGGCTGTTATGTGCTGACATTTCACAGCTATCAAAGTATCTATGGTAATAATAAACCGGAATAAAGGAATTAATTAATCAATCAATCCATTCATCCTTCAGTCTAAATAACTGGCAGCATATAACATGTGTATGGATTCTCTAAAGGTATGTAATACATAGAAAACTGTGTATACATTTTCAGTAGTGGCTGCTTCCACTTGAACACCAGCAGAGTTTAGCAGCAAACGGACAACATTTTCATTGCCTGAATAGGCAGCCAAGTGGAGAGGTGTCATGCCAGATTCATTTCCAAGCTCTCCCACTAAACTGGCTCCAGATGGTGGATCAGACTTCACAGTGGCTGGGACATGCTGAAGCAACTCTCGCACAGTATCTACAACATGATTTACATATTCATCAACTCAGTTGACAAAAGATGGTTCTAAAGCTTTTCTGTTTCTAATTTAGTTTTCTTCCTCCATTGTTTATCAAACCTCCTACTTATGCTTAGGTTTCTCAAGTTGTTTCCTCCTTTGATGTTTTTGGGTCATAATTTTTTACAAATTTCCTGTTTGTCCCTTGAATCGTATAGACCCTTGCCATTTGACTCATCTTGTTGTAGCATAATGGTTAAGATATATTTGCTGAACATATCCTTGCATTAAGATGTACAAACCAGCTTGTCCAAAGTAAGCTGCAACATGGAGAGCCGTGACACCTAGCTTCTTGCTGGAGATGCGCAGAGACTGGGAAGATCTCATCACTTCCAGAACTTGACCATGGCCATTTTGTGCAGCCAGGTGGAGTGCTGTGAACCCTGCCTGCAAGAACAGTGTTCACAGTTAGAGTGTAGTAGAAGGCTAAAACATCATATTCACCTCAACATAATTCCTGATCCATAAAGGCATTAAATTTTGTGTTCTTTCACAAAGTGCATAAAAATTAATGTAAATGGTGAAGTATTGTCTGATTTTTCACAAGTTCCATCTCTAGAACTATGTGAAGAAAACTGATTAAATTTGGTATCTGTATCTACACTAAAAATTATCGTGTGAATTTAACTGCGGTTCACACCAGCCCAATGTAATTTTACTTTATATGAAGCTCAAATTGAATTTATAGATTTACTCAGAAATGACTCATCATGGAAGAAACTAAATACGTGACATATAATACAGGCCTTATTAACATCTGTAACTTTTATTTAAATATTTTTGATATGCTACATATTCACTGAAACACAACGAAAAATAATTTTGGACTCTCAGCAGTGTAGCGTAATTAGCATTACAAAAATAATTTGTATCTGCAATAAATAAACATTATTTATTAACAGTGAGGTTTACAGAATACCAAAGAATGTGTATAGAAAATATGTACACTCCACTGGAGTAAAACTTTATGTTGTTACTGTGTATACAATCTGATTATGTATTATAATTTATTGTAATATAATAAATTATAGTAAGCATTGCTTTAAGTTAACAGGCTGAAGAGATATGATGTAATATTCTGACAAATACATGAACATGGTACATTCAAAGTCTATTGTCTAATAGTGAAGCATGAAGATCTCCAAATCACACTTCATTTGGATGCATCTAGACTTTTCTTATTTGACTTAGTTGCTGTGATTGTAAATTACATACCTGTCTAGTATACAAACTTTAAGTTTCTTCAATACTCAGTTTACATCCTGCAGTCCACGACTAACACTAAATAAATCTTTCATTCCAACCCAGGATGCAGGAACCTGTGAACCTTACTGTTCTTACCTTATTTTCATCTGTACACGAAGCACCAGCACGGACGAGTGCCTTCACCACATCTGCATGTCCACCTTCAGCAGCCAGCTGGAGTGGGGTAGCCTCAGTTATACGGTTTCGAGCTGATATAACACCTTGCCTGTCAAACTTCATCAGCTCCTCAATCACACGTATAGAACCCTGCATTGCTGCAATGTGTGCACATGAATTTCCATCCTGAAATAAGCACCAAAATGTTAATCGTCATCACTGAAAACAGCCAGTGTAATTGTTTCCACTCTAAACCTGAACATACTAATTTTCTGCATCTTTAGTTTCTTTCTTTGTGTGAACACCAAAACTTTCATGTTATAAACATTAAGGTTAATGTTTGAATTAAAATGGAAACTGAAGTGAAAAGACAGTTCAATTTTTCTTGCTATATCTGACAAAATACCACTGAAGGTGACTAAGTGATTCTTTGCTTAGTTAACAACATAGTTTTAACAGCAAAATAATTAGTAAAACAAGTAAAAACAGTTAGTAGGTAAGGATTTGAAAAAAGATGGTTATAGCTTGTTACGATGTACTATCCCAATAATCACCTGAAATGACTGAAGGAAGCTATAAAATGTGTCAGTTAGAATAGCCTAATTTACTAGCCTACTCCATGGTAATGAATGGCTGACTTTTGTTAGCATAATGTGAACGTTGAGGCCCAATAAAAACTGATAATTTTCTGAACAGCTGAATAACTAGAAAGATATTGAATAAAAGCTCTTAACCACAGACTGATTATTTATTCTATTTAATTACGCTTTTTCAAACAGATTATGTAATGTCAAATGGTATGATAAACTGTAGAAGATGTAGAAGATGCCTTGGGCATATTTTAAAATATCATAATCCCCCCCCCCCC